TTTAAAATATTTTTTAAATTAAAATGTGGTATTCTTAGGCTCTGATATTTTTTTTACTTCTTATTTACCTCGTTAAAATTTTAAACCCCTTTCCAAAATGCAGAGACAAAGTGCCATTTAGAAAATATCATCTGTAAAATAGACAATTTTTGAAACGGGTTTATTTATGAATTAGATAATTCTTCTAGATAAAACGTGAATGTTCATAAATATCTCTGAGTTACTTTTTGTGCCGTCAAAACGTGTGCGTTACACAAGACCACCATGAAACGCGATTATAATACTACGCCTTTTAATTTCAAATGCCAGATAAGATTTAGAGCAATTCCATTCGATTAAGAGAACATTTGCTTCAATTTGGGACCCGCACGAATGCTTTTGCGTTGCTGTTGCAGTAGACGAGACGTGCAGTCTCATCGGTCGCTTAGAAACATTGCCAGCCTGTCCAGATACGTACTTGATATTTACAAAATTTATAAAACAGAACTAATCAAAACTAAACTAGGCGACGATGAACGGACGTCAGAAAACATTAAAAAATAGCCTAATTGAGAGGCTAATAATTTTTCTAGCTTTTTAATAAAAAAATTGTCAATTTTTGTTCAATTCCAACATTTATAATAATAAATATAAATGTCCATTCTCATGGGATATGTTATGCCTACACACAGGGTGGTCTGCAATGAATACGCCAATGAGATAAGTCACGTTTAAATGTAGTTCGAGGAATTTCAATTTCTCCGTATTGATTCACGGATGGAAAAATGTGATGACACTATATTCCGGGATATCATCCGTTCGCTCGTTGAACTCCGACTGGAATCCTGCAAATCCTGCATCCGACTGGAATCCTGCAGACGTTTCGCCAAAATCTCACTTGGCATCTTCAATGCTCGCGCTCCGAAAACACTTCGAACACTCGAACACACTAATTAGGTGACTCAGGTATTCAAGCATTCTTCTGGGATTGTATTCTTCTACTAACCAAAACTAACCAATGACCATGCAGCAATAACCGCAGCAAAAATCAACATGGCCTTTGACCGATCGTCAATACGTTTGGACGCAGCATTTCTATGAGAGTATTTTTTCAAAAATCTGTCCTGCTTCTGTTAAATCTTCAGCCAAAAAGGTGTTAAGTGAGTGGATATCACTGTTTAAGAAGAATATATCGCAAAGTTACTTGGTGAATTGTAGAGGCATGCTCGGAAGTTCATTTCCATTTGTACGAAAATATTATAGCCCTCTGAAGCGCATAAATGTTTACCGTAGTAAGGCCACTATACTATTTAAAAGCTATATGTTAGTGACCGATATTGCGGTTTAGATAAACATGTCAGGTTTGTCAAGCTTAAGCCTATTAAATCCCTGTGACACCCTACGACGTTGTTGTTGTTACCCGTTTTTACCTAGTTTTTACCAAGTTGACTCGTTTAACTCTATCTAAAAAATGCTTGACACTGCGTCATGCCAAATTCTTTGTGTTCTTCTGAAACTTAATGGAAGAAGAGATCAATATTCTGCGGAAAAATCTATAAAGAATACTAATGAAAAATATTTGGTGCTTATCAGTTGACAAAACTGCCAGAAGTTTTAATACAGTGTTTGAGAATTACAGTAAAAATAAACTATTTTCTGTAAACCGGACCTTCTCAATATGGGAACATTCCTTCGCTACAGCCATAATTCAAAAGCTTGGAATACTCTTTTTGTATTTAATGTCAGGTCACGGCACTTGTACACCAAGTCCATCTTCAAGAAGGCACATTTGGCCTTTTCAATTCGACACCGAATCTCCTGAGAATTATCCCACTATTCATTTATCATAGTTCCTGTGTGCTTATATCTACTAGTTAACTAAATTACAAATCGATGACGGTAGGATTATAGCACTCATGTCTGATTGCACTCGTTGGTTAGCTGAAACAACCTTTAAGGGCGCTAAGTACTAAAAGCGATTTTACTGGTTGTTCTTATAATTTTAGTGTCCTATCAATCATGTGTATGGTGACGATGTACACTACCATTCTGCTCAAGCCCCGCTTCTCATATCCTGAAGGCAATAAAACTGAACAGCACAAAGCGAATTCTTGAAAAAATAAATAAATTTGTGAACTAGAGTCATTAACATAACATGCCGGACCGGAAGTGTTACCCGTTCTTCCTCTACCAATTTTACCCTGAAGATGATCATCCTATATTTAAGTTTAGAAAAGGTTGCTCTGCGTCTTTTCCTTAATCTAGATAGAATTTTTATTACTTATATTACTCTCCCGTATAACTCAAATATATGTAATTTGATCTTCAGTTCTGTGACAATCATGAAATTGGTAATAAGGCCAAGTTAATGTCCACCTTTTAAATATTTCTTTGGTTCTTTGACACTTTTCTTGCTTCGGTCTAATATTTTGTCATGTTCTTCTAAAGATATTTCTTGTGGTAAAGTTGAAGGGTTAAAGTCATATAGGGTATTTGGTAGATACAATCTTTCTCTAAAGTCGATGCTTCCAACTTTATTCTTGTAAGTATGCTGCTAAATGTCATCCCGGACTTGACAGATTTTTCTAAGATTCTTATCATGTATGGGATCATCAAGAGAGAGAGAGAGAGAGAGAGAGAGAGAGAGAGAGAGAGAGAGAGAGAGAGAGAGAGAGAGAGAGAGAGAGAGAGAGAGAGAGAGAGAGAGAGAGAGAGAGAGAGAGAGAGAGAGAGAGAGAGAGAGAGAGAGAGAGAGAGAGAGAGGGAGAGAGAGTATCCACCTCACATGATTCTGCTAATATGAAGTAAATCATTTCAATACCGGTTAATTCTACAGCGAGTGATGCTTCGTCACTGAATATTATGATTACTCTTTTATAGATAATGTACCACTCAAATTATTCAAATTAAGTTGTTAGAAAAACTCCTTCATTTTTTTTTGGTAGATAATAACGCAAGGTTATGTTCTTGATACCAGCTTTGACGTAGAAAGTTTATACAAAAACGTGCCCTTGGGAGAACCGTTAGACATTGCCGAAGCCAGATTGAAAATACAACACTTCAAGACAAAATTGCAAGCGATGCGATAATTTTTGCTGGTTGTGTAATTTTTTTTTAATCCAGTGTTCAGAGGATTGTCTTACTCTCCGGCGCAGCTTGGAGCAAATCAATAATTATTGCTCTCTAAATAATACCTTGCAACTTAATACAGCCAAGTGTAATGTAGTCTCTTTTATCAACATTTTTTGTGACTTGGGAGTAAAATTTGACTGGAAATTATCCTTTGTTCCTCATGTTAATAAGGTACTGACAGAAGCCTCAAAAAGCTATAGATTTGGATATGGAAAAATACAGATGTTAAATATTATAAAACTCATACGTCGGGTGTAGGTTAGAGTATGCATAAATCATCAATTAATTCACATAAATATTGAGTCAACGTTGGCAGATTGCTTGTGCAGGACTTATTTGAAACAAAACCGTGTTGCTCAACACTAATATTACTAGAATAGACTAAAATAAATACAGTCACAAAGAGTTTTGGTATGTGCCGATAATTCTCAATTACACTAGCGTCATCTTTTTTAAAGTCAGGAAAAACTTTGGCACTCTTCGACAACTTGAAAATGTATACGGTTTGGTAATGCAATTGAATATGTCAGTAAGTGGACTAGCGAGGACACTGATACAGTCCTTAAAAAAATGCTAGGGATGCCATCAGTACCGGCTGTTGGTTTATCTTGGTAACCTCAGCAATAACAAAATGATCGTACGCTGATAAAAAAAAATATCTACCAAACACATCTACTATGGCTTGAGATACCCTAAAACATCCACCACCATAAGACATCAAGCATGAGATTCTGCAGCTATTTCTCTTCGATTTAATATACTAGGGATCTGCTCGTATTTTCAGTTCGATATTGCTTAAGTACTCCCTATATGGTTTCATTTTTTGAGTTTTGATTTTAAGGCTTAAGTGTTTAAAATCTAGATAGCAACAAAATGGTACCTTTATTTTTGTAAACACGAAAAAGTTTCTCTTTTTCGTAGATTTGTATAATATCTCCAGTATAACAGACCGGGAATCATTGGCGTCTTTTAACTTGGTGGAACTCATGATCTAAATAAGTTATTAAGAGTATCATAAAAACAATTCAAGGACTCATCCATATTCAATCTCAACAGTTTATCACACATTAGAGGAAAGCTTGCCTTTTTAAAGTTAAATTATTTCATGGAGTCACGACACAGGCCTCAGTCTGTAGACTCATTAGACTATCTTATGTGTACGCTAATCAATAGTGGGGAGGTGAAGTGGTGTAAGCGTAACAATAGGACACTCGTCTCGTTCAACAGAACAAGGAATGCTTGAAAATGGTAGATCCAGCAAACGATTGATGTTGTTGCACACATTGTAATATTATTTAAGTCATGTTGCTTCTGAAAAGTTGGAAACATTGAAGTCGCCAAGAATTATGTTATTTTTACTGACATCGATAAACACTGAAAAACACTCCAGGAACCACTCAAAATCATTATCCGCCACTGTTGGTGGTTATTGCCCCATTAACTATAATTATTAATTTCAGTCTTTTCCTATTTGTTGTTTTTGTTTGTTGTTGTTTTTTTATTTAGATTAAATGCTTATGTTAGGTTAGACTTTAGGTTAGGTTTCGCAATACCATCATTACTTGCAATGCCTCTGTAACTATTTAATAATTTGTACTACAGCTTACCTGTTAATTGGGCTTCATGTCTGTTAGGTAGACTTCTTTAAATAAATAATTGAAAATATAATAAATCATGTGTGGCCTCTCGGTGCGATTAGCTTTCATTTTAATATCGACCAAAGTCCGAACCCATCTTAAATAATTTCAATCCGGGACTGAGGCCCGATAAATCGAGAATCGAGCGATAGGTCAAAATATTGTGGCCCCTTGCCAGATTTTTAATGGAAACTTACACCAGTTACAATAAAAAATGATTGTTTTACTAATATAATTTATTTTTCTTTGCAGATTAACGCTGCGCATCACGCATAGCGGTCGCCGGAAAAAGGCGGGTCCAGATGTTCCGATGTTTAGTTCGCGGACGGCACTCACTAGATCGACACCGGCGACACAGAAGGATCAAAGAGTAATCCGGAGTGCTTATAATGACTTAAAGTGACGCGAGACGCGACCAGATCAACGATGCCGAGCTATTTACTGTTGTTTTGCGGTGTCTGTGCAGTTTGTTCGTTCCCGTCGACCCCGTTGAACGAGAGATCGAAGGAGATTTCTTGGCAGGCGTGGTTGTTGGTAGACGATCAGAACCAAAACCGACAGGAAGGAGGGGACGTGTTGCCGAAGAAAAAAATCACCCCCAAAAGCGTGTTCGTAGCTCCTACGTTTTCCCCCGAGAATCTACCCCCCTGCGCCGACGGGTACAGCTCGGATAATATGGGCAGGTGTATAAAAATTATCAAGCTGGACGAAGACAGGCACTTGGAGTTTTTGGTTAATAAAATTAACGATAAGTTCGGTTCCGTAGACTACGAGGAAGATATTGAAATAGAGGAAATCGATATTCCCAAAGACGGGCCTATTCAGTTTAGCATTCCTCTGAGCGAGGATGATTACCACAACGAATCTCCTCAGGAAGAGGCCGACATTGCTATTATCGTGACTCCCAGTGGCGGTATCTTCGGCGAGCCTTTCAATAATTTTGATACATCTAGTCTGAAGTTGGATAAGAGGGACGATAAAGTCAACGAAGACGAGGCAACGGAAACGACCACTTTGGAATACGATACAACTACTCAAGACGCAACCACTTTGGGTGATTCGGAATACACCACCGATACAGTGGACGATAACTCAACTGAGGTTACTACGGAGGAAACGACCACATTCGTGGATATAACCACAACAGGGGAGGAGGAAACGACAACCGTGGTTCCCACCACAACCCCAAAAGTTACAACGTACCACCCCAATTTAGATACCACCAAATTGGTGACCCGATCTAGTTTCGTTCGATTTCCCGACGAACAATCAACACCAGAGCCCAGAGGGAACTTAGTAAGGTTTCCGGATTTAGGAAACCAGCACGAAAGCCAAAGCCATCAGACTCGCGACGTCAGTAGTCAATATGGTAATTTTTTAAATGAGTATGTTCCGCAAAAACCACCCGAGGTATTTTTACAGCAAAAACCAGTTCCTTATGGTCGAACTTTTGGAGGACGTTTTTCTGACACTGACGGATTCGCGACCGAACGTTCCGGTAGAAATAAAGCAAAACATAATAGTTTGTTTTTTCTGCCTCCGAATTTAACGTCGAAGATACCCCGGAGACCTCTGGTGTTAAGGTTCAGCAGGAAACACGTATTTATCGACACCAAGCAATTTAAAAACAACGAGTTTTACAGGTCGCTTCCCATGGAAGATTTGTCGTATTTATTCGGTTACAAATACAAACAGTCGAATCATAGGTAATATATTTTTTGTGATCTTTTATCGTACAATTTTAGTTTTCTGTGTATATAGTCGTTACCCTCTGCGTAGTTATTTATGCACTGGTGCAATTCATTTACTTGCTTAGAGCTTTAAGCTACTTTGTCACTCCACTGTCACTGGCAATTCCGGAAGAATGTTTTCAAATGTGTCAAACTTTATTTAAAAAATGAGTTTTTAATAAATATCTTAAATATGCCTTGACCAATTTTGTTAAAATTTGGTAGTGTTGTTTGTTGGGATAAGAGTTTCACTTAGAATTCTTTAAATTAAAATTATGAAGTGCAGTGGCGTCCCGGAAGACAGCCTATAGAAGATTGCCAAAAAAATGTGCAGAATTTTATTTTTCAAATTTAGCAACTAAAAACGCAACTTTTTTTACTGATTCTTTAAAAAGAAAATATTTTTGTAACTAGTGCTCCATTATAAATTTTACCGCAGTTTTTCTTAGACATTTCAGGAAAAAAATTAATACAATAGTTGTAGGGTTTAATGCGCAGATTTAATATTACATACTTATTTATATACAGATGTGCCAAAAAGTAGTGTATGAATAGAATGGAGAGCCCTGTATATTATTTCAGAAGATTCTTTTACGCTGATTGCAAAATATTGTTTTTCAATAATATTATTATTGTACAAAAAAGGATTAAAGGATAATGTTTTCAATTGACAAAAAAATTCGAAATATTATTCCTGTAAAAAAATAACAAGAAAAAACTTAATAGATAATACAAATACATAAACACTAATTTAACGATTACGAATAGTGCGCTAAATTTTGAAAATATCCACCAATTTCTGTGACTACACAGTTGATAACCGCTTTAAAGCTTTACTTATCCAGTCAGGATGCACATTTTTTAAAACGTTACGTTAACTTAATGGACTAAACAAATTGTTTAACAAATCTGCCCAAGTATTATTTAATTCTTCATTAGGATTAAAACGCACTGCCTCGTTTTTCTCCGCACAGTTTTGTTTCTTTGAATTGTTGTATTTCAACCCTGTTTGCATTTTTATGTATGTATTATTTTCCCAAGTTTTTGTCTGGTTAAACATCATTCTTTTATCGAATTTTGAACAAGGCATGCCACAACTACCGTAACAGAAGACGTGGTCAACGTCAAGTGGCTTTAATGTAAAAAATATCCATTACATGTTTTTTTTTTCATTTTTTTTTTATAACATTCAGAGCTTCCAATCAATTAATTGACATACTATGCTTTTTTGATGCACCATATATATATAAATAAGTATGTATAAATAAGTATGTAATGGGGAGTAACTTTCATAATGGATCGAGTTCTTATTGCTTATTTCTTCTTTTCTTCTTCTAAAAGTATTATTTCGAACATATCGTATTTTAAACTGGAAGTCGTTTTTAAAATTTAAAATTCCCCTTAGTTAACCCCAGTAAATGAATTGGACCGTTCCTTAGTAGAAGATGTATTTATTTTTTGTACATATACCGCTGTCTGTGCATGTTGGGGTATTCTGATATTGTCGACACCCTGTATATTAGCGTTTCATGTATATATGTAGCAACAGTGTAGATTTTAATGTAGAAATTAACCAAGTCAGTACAATTATTATCGAGTATTTTAAGTTTCTAGAATTGGCGCCTAAATTATTTATTTTGATACGCATCAAATAATGTTACTGTCGCGGGCAGTGTGACGATTTTGTTTCGAACATTATCCGGAAACGGCGTCGAACGAAACGTACCGTTTGTTGTTTAAATTCCGAGTCTGTTTGTTTTTACGGAATTGTTGACTCCATTGGTCGGACGCCTACATCTGGACACCGTTTACATCGACGATATGCTAAAAAACACGCACATCTGTGAAATATTGCATGCGAAATTTGAAAAGTGCGAAAAAAATTTTATCCAAATATTTGGAATCTGTCGAACGGTTTACATCAAGTATTATTATTTTCATTAAATTGATATTAATAAGTCCCCACATTGCCACGACTTAATTATTTCACACGATTTGTGCTTAGAAATGTGTTGTAGCATTTTTGTTGGCAATTGATTTTCGCAAAATTATTACGCTGCCTTACTTTTGTAGAATATTTCGCCACAACTAACTGAAAATAGTATTATACCCTTATTTATTGAAAATTACTTTGAATAGGATTACAAATAGTAGCAAATTGTTGAGCATAATTTCATTTATAGATGTTTGTTGTGTGTAAAATAATGTATAAAAGCTTGTACAACGTAAAATACAGTATTATAATCCGCATTATTTTTTTATTTCCCTTGTGTTTAGAGAACCCTGTTATTAATGTGCATGAAAACCAGTGCTGAAATAATTACATTTACCAGAAGCACGGGGCAGAAGTAAATGAGACGCATACAGACAAATAAACCGCAAAATGTACAAAAATAATTTGTTTAAGTACTAGTAACTTACTTTACAATTATTAATATTTATATATTAAAGGGAAAAACAAGTACAACGTCATAAAAAACTAATCATTAAACTTCTTTGGAATCGGAACTAGTGGACTCAAATTGATGGACTGTATTGAAATATCAGAACTAAAAACGATATTTGAAAAGCAACTGAGAAAGTTATATTCTATATTGATACAGATAACAGACATAACGCAACAACAATTGTTGAACATGATTTCATTTACAGATGTTTGTTGTGTGTAAAATAATGTGTAAAAACTTGTACAATGTGAAATAGAGTATTATAATCTGCGCTGTTTTTTTTTATTTTTCGTCTGAGTAGAGAACCCTGCTAGTAATGTGCACGAAAACCATTGCGAAAAACATTATATTCTCAAAAAACAGTGCAGGCATTATTGTCAGCAGTATATTGTAAGCACCTGCTTGCTGCATGCGCCACCAGGAGTAAATCGTTTTTTACACATATGTTTTATGAAACATAAATTTATTTTTTAGATTTTATTGTTACAATTAATAATATTGATAAACTAAAACGAAATATTACAAAAATATAAGTACAACGTCAAACTTTGTACTCGGAACTAGTCGAAAGTATCGACTGTTTTGAAACATCTATATCTGCAAAACTAAATAAGATATCTGAAAAGAGCAATATTGCTACATTTCTACTGCATTTTTGCAAAAAAAATCACACAGTTAAATCTTTTAAACATTTTTCCCGTCTACATGTCTAAAGCGTATTAAAAGTAAAAAAAAAACGAATTCATGCGAATTTTAAGATATTTTTTAACCAAACTAACTAACTAATATATTAAAATACATAAAGTTACATATTTTGACATGACAATTATTTCGACAACACCGTGTCTTTATCACATTTGATCACATTTGATAAAGACACGGTGTTGTCGAAACAATTGTCATGTCAAAATATATAATTTCGTGAAAATCTGAACTTTTAGTTCTTATATATTTTGATAAATGGATTTTCATCAAGTAAAAGTCACCTCAGTTCAACTAATATTTAAAAATTAAAGGTTTCAGACTGGTTTTATTATTTATAATAAATTTGAATAACAATATATAATATAGTAATAATAGTATTACTGACTTTCAAAGATTGTGTGAGTTTGTTTTCGCTTTGAATACATAGACAGGCTTTAACAATATTCTCAAAAACTTTCGCTATCTGGTTTACTGTTATTTAAGTTTTATGTTTGAACAAAGAGTCTCAAAAATGCCATCAAAACGAATAAATTGGTAACACAATTTTAGTTTACCTGCTTCCAATCTTTTATAGTTTATTTAATTCCACTTCATTGTAATTTGTATCGAAACATCAACTACTATTTTTTTCAAAAAGATCTTTAAAATATTATACTGGGGATAATCGTTTTTACGATATTCTTGTCTTTCTGGTGGATGCTCTGGTCGGTAGACTTTTTTTGCATGTTGACAGTGAATTTGCATGGCATTACATTCGCAAAACGCAACGCAATACTTTTGTATATTTGGAAACATGTATTGCTTTATTTTGATGTTACTGATAACTATTATGTACTTCACTTTTGTGAATTTATGACCTTTGTAGCTTGGTAATTTTTCCTGTAGTAGGTCAAATTGATGAACTATATACGATATTGGAACTGGAACTAGCATTGAGCAAAACAAAGTGCGTATGGTTTCTCCATTGTTTTTTATTGTTGCTTATACGAATGTTGTTATACCTACATGCCATTTCTATATTCTAAAGTGCATTATTGAAAATTATTTCATGTATATGGTGTAATAAAATAATATTTTTGTATTCCTCAAAAACTTTTAATTTCTGCGGAATTAATTTTATCTGTAACGACTAGAAATTTTGCGTGGTATATACAGAGTGTCCAGTATTCGTGTGTTGTCAGAGTGTTTATGTCAAACTTCACCTTTTACCTAAAAATTAAAAAAAAAATTCTGGAACTTACCGAACTTGAACAAAATGTTAAATTTTCAATTAAATGAATGCAGATAATTTAATATGCAGGTTTGGTGAATTTTCCCCATTTCATTGAAGCTTTTATTTACGACAAAAAAATAGAACACCAACGTAACTACCCACGTAATGCTCAACTTTGTCGGGTTGTAGTAGAATTATAAAGTTTCGGGAATACCATAAGGATTTTGTTCCCATTTTTATTAGAAAACCGCCTCCATCTTCTCCACATGCACTTGAAGACTGGACACTTGCTCTTAATTTTAAGTTTCCCAACTTTAATTCTCAGAAACATTTGTTACTATCGCGACTAGAAGCGACTCAAAAATGTTTGATATTCTTGGCTACTAAGTTTTTGAAATAAAAATTAAATTGAAACTACTCTTAGTATAGTAATAAATAACTGGTTGTTTTGAACTCTTGACTTAATAAGCAGGTTTTAAATTTTAACAGGCAATACATCAACTTTTCTAAGGAACTTCCACAGACTAGTGTAACACTAATTAACGGAATTATGTTCAAAGCAAATTATTACTCGTTTATTAAAAAAGAAAGTTTTTCCGTTCGCTAATAATAATAAGGTGACTATACGGCTGTCACTTCTAAGAGATTCCCTAACATTTTAAAAAGAAAAGGGATCTAGTGTCATATTATTTTTACCAGCCAATAGAATAAAGGGATTTTGTGTTATTAGGTAGTAGTAAGCAATTTTTATTTCTTCGACTAAACCAAAGAGAACATATTTTATGAGAAATGTATTATTTATTATTTTATTTATTATATATTATTTATTAAACCAATGCAACTACGTTACAAATAGGAAAACCAAACCTAAGAAAATATTAATATGACATGTGCCTGAAACTAAAAATAGGGCTTTCTACTATAAGGACAGAGTTAACAGAAAAACAAGGATTTTATTATCTGCGTCAATATAATTCGAATGGATTTGTTTTCAATTCCAATGCGGACAATATTTTTGTTTTAGTAAGAATAAGCAACAAATATTATCATTCACATGTTCATTTCAAAAAGATATTATAACGTTTTTCAATTTAACTCTATTTTTATTTCCAAATGAGCTTTAAACTATCGACACGAGAAGATTCACTAATAATGGTAAGATCATGGTTTATAAAAATTATTATCAAGTATTATTAAAATCAAAACAAGACAATTAAGTATTGTCCGCATATGCCAGAACCTTGCAGAAATTTAAGGATTTTAAAATATCGGAAGGGTAAATCAAAAACAATATCGGACAAAAAATCGAACTCTGCGGTAACCCAGAGAAAATTTGTATTACCATGAAATAACTAACGCTAAATAACGCTAACAGAAAATAATAATGTATTCTAATTTTCTCATTGATATCGTTTTCATAGCAAATTGTACATGTCGTATTGAAAATTAACAGATTTGGGTTCTACAGGTTTTTTAGGGAAATTCAAAATGCAGTGAATCAATTTATCGCTCATTAACAAAAATCCGGCGGATTGTCATAAGAGAAAAGATTAACATTAAAATCTCCAAGACAAAACTTTTCATCAACATTGAAAAATATGTATTCTAAATCACCTAGAGCAGTGTTGTAAACCACTATTTATGTTAAAATTATTACTAATAACTTCTATATTTAAATGGAGGAAAAAAGTCAAAACCAGGAATACAAAAATGTTCCGTCTATAAAGAGCCAGGTTTCAGACATTTAAGGAATTGCTTTAGTTAAAGTTAAGGTTGCGAAGGTGTCTTGTTGCTTTCGAAAAATCGATGAACATATAACGCTTAACTTCTTAACGAAACTATTGCATTTAGGGGGGCGGGGGGGATCGGGAAAGTCTGTTACTACTGTCAAACTCTTCACTGGAACCTTCGGCACTGCACTAACACACAATAACGCATTTTACCACAAACCGAAACTCAATTTTACGTACTGGACGCGCGTTTCGCCAATCAAGTTGGCATCTTCAGGAGAACTGATGCCAGAAATTCATAGACCTATTGTCTCAGCTATAGGTTCTCCAACATACAATATTTCAAAGTGGTTGGTTGCAGAACTTGGAAACTTAAAACCTCAAAAAGAAAGTTTTTCTGTAAAAAACTCGCAAGAGTTCATTGGTAGAATCAAAGACGTAAGGCTAAATGAACATAAACTTTTAGTATCTTTTGATGTTTCCTCATTATTTCCAAGCGTTCCTATACCAGAAACTTTGGAATACCTCAGGAAATTACTCGAATATAATAACTACAGTAAAGATATAATTGAAGAGCTAATCACTCTGACAAAACTTTGCATGAGTCAAAATATTTTTCTATATAATAACAACTATTATGAACAACAAAATGGCACGGCTATGGGAAATTGTTTACCTCCTTTCCTGGCTGAACTTTTCATGCATCTTTTGAACATAATGCTAAAGAAAATTTCGAGTACTTTCCTGGGATATGCTTGCATGGATTTAAATGACTTTATTTCAAACTTGAATAATTACTTCCCATTTATTAAATTCACATATGAAATAGAAAGTTGCCTTTTTTTGGAGGTTCTCGTTACCAAAAACAGTGAAAATCACATAGTTTTTGACATTTATAGTAAAGACACTAATACTTTAAGATACATAACCAATAAAATGGCAAGTTTTAATTTTCTAGTCCATAGACTTGTCATATTTCCTTTAAATCAAGAAAGGTTTAAGTTGAATGAAGCCTTATAAAAAAGGTGGCTAGAATCAATGGCTATGAAGATAGTTTTATCGATAAGTTAATTAGGAAATTTAGATTTGAAAACTAACTTCAAAAATCATCGACTTTTCAAGCTGGTAAGGAAAATTTAAAAGTAGTCTCAATTCCTTTCTCTCCCCAATATACAAGTGGACTTGATAGAGTCTTCAGGGTCGCAGGTCTTTGAAGTGTCTATCAGTCCGAATCAAAATTAAAAAAACTCTTGGGTAATCCCAAGGATAAACTAGATACCCTTGAAAAGTCGGGAATTTATGAAATATGTTGTAACGATGGCGACAAGTCATATGTAGGGCAAACCAAAAGATCAATTAATGTTAGAATTAAGGAACATTTAGCTTATTTAAAATTTGGTAGATTAGAAAAATCAAGTGTAGCCGAACATATGTTCAACAATAATCATAAGGTAGATATAAGTAATTTAAAATTAGTTAAACATGTAAATAATAGTAGAAAATTAGAGAGCTACGAAAGCTTAGAAATTGTTAAGAGAGGGAATAAGGCACTGAACAAGGACAGAGGTCCAATCCCATTTAGCCCATTATACGCGCTGATTGGTTGCATGAACAGTGCGTAATTCCCTCTCCCACTTCCTGATATATATAGAGAGCATCTGTTCTATTAAGTTTAGTTTTAATCTTCTCCTGAAGATGCCAACTTGGTTGGCGAAACGCGCGTGAAGTACGTAAAGTTGAGTTTCGGTTTGTGATAAAACGCGTTATTGTGTGTCTGTTACTACTGTGTTTAGAAGAGACTCAAGATATTATTGGCTACTTATGTTTTTGGGATAAACATTGAATTGGGACCACTGGTATAAACAAGTTTTACTGGAAAAACTAGATTTTTAAAGTTTAGAACACCAATCTTCGTAATATCGTAACATCTTCTTATCTTTCTGAGAGAAACCAAGCAGTTTTTTAGAGTAATGAGTAATGCACCGAGTCCCACTGGGCTCCATTGTGAGTTCATTATTGTTTTCCATTTGTATTAATGATCTCTTTGACCATATGGACCATGTGGCTGCGGTTAGTTTTGCAGTTATTGGGTGTGGTCTTAGATGTTAGGCTCTCTTGGAAAGTCCATATTGATTATTTACTAAGGCGCGAACATTTTTCTCCGACGACAAAAAAATTTAATTAGGAAAGATTATCTAGTCTCGAGTGAATACGCTCTTTTTCATTCAATTTTGGTATATGCAGTTATACTGTGGGGAAACTCAAAAGACTGCATAAAAAATTTTCTTATTCAGGATGTCCAAATAGTGCATCAAAGTCTCATTGATTATTGGTTTTAGAAAAAAATGTTAAATACAAAAGTTATAAATAAGACCAAAAAAGCAATTTAAAATTATTTTCGTAAACATGCTGGAAACCATATTTATATATATTTTTAATGAAAGACCCTGTATATTATTGCATTCCTCCCTTTATATTCATTATATTCCTCCCTTTTATACTCACGGCCATGGCCATTTTTCGTCAAAAATTTGACGCCATTACCGACGGCTGTAACGAGACAAAATGAAAAATATAAGTTGGCCATGCAAATGTAAGCAAATGCAAATGTAATTGTTTGAAGACTATATTAGAGCGTGTATGGAAGTCGAAGTCATTTGAAGTTATTTTTGTTTAAATCTCTAATTTCGTTTTAACATGTACCAAATACTGTTATCTGAAAGACTTATACTTAATTCGACTCTGTATACTTTTAGTGTTTAGGTAATATTTATTTTGTTCATTGGGAACGCTTCATAAAATTGAAAGATCATTAATACGAGTAAGTAATGAAAGTAATTTCACACACTATTTGGATATCCTTAGAGGACCATTGTCAACCTCTGTTTCAGAAACTAAGGGTTATGTCACCGCCATCGGTATAGATCTTTCGCGCAATTTTAGAAATTCACTACTCAAAAATCCACGCCACTTTAATAATAATCATGGGTATCCTAATAATAATAATAATAATCATGGATATCCCACCTCCTCCTCACATTGGTTTTAGTCTGTAGATAAATACAAACAAGTAAGTGAAACACTTTTGGCGGGAAATTTTAAATTTTCCTAAATGTTCGGGTTGGCGCAGGAAAATTTTGAATCGTCGGCAATGTGGCTATAGTGGAAAAAATAGCACTCTTCGTGTTACTTTGTTTGTTCCGTTCTGCAATTTTCGATTTTTTTCTCCCTCCTCTATCTATGTGAGAAAATCTATAATTATGTGGGTGTGTGTGTTAAATAGTTAATTTCTAGTTACAACAGAAGCAACAGTAATATGACGATGTCCTTCTTCCTGCAAAACATTAATGGCAACTTGTTTCTTAAAGAGTTTGTAAATTGTTAAAAAATGAAAGTTGGTGATAAAAAGAAAATACTGATTTTCAGTAAAAACATTACATTATATCTTGTTCCTTTAGGACCAGTAGGATGAACAACTAACATTCAATTTTTTGATGAATAACAACATGAAGTGCATATCTGAAAAAAATAAAATTATATTAAAACTATCTACTGAATCACCAGTTTTTGAATGTTAACAGGCAACACCTACAAAAATTAAATAGGTTTGAGACATCCATTGGAATTCCTTTTGGTAAAGTTAAGGTTGTGAAAATGCTTATTTGAAGCTTTGCTTATTGGAAAAACTATTAAATTCCGAGATCGTACCGAAAGCAGAATTAATTACTAAAATCAATTAATTTCAATAATTTTAAAATATATATTGATATATTTAGAAAATTTTTAAGGGTGGTAGTAATACGATAAATGGAAACACATGATTTCGTATATTATTGTATACTTTTACAGTAGTTTTCTTTTTATTAGATTCATAGATGTTATACAACATATCTTAAAACAGCGAAATGGAAAATTAAAAAAAAAAGAATTAAAAAAAAGATTATGGAGAATCCTTTATTATACAGCAACGTCAAAACATAATATAATTACTTCTTCGAACCGCTCCTTTTTTCATTTGCGCAAGGCGGTTCCATGTAGTCGCCGCGTCCCAAATAATTAGCCAACAACCTTTTCAATTCAGCGTTTTCTTTTCTAAGTTTAACGACATCGTCGCATACAGCTTTGCGATCTAAAAATTGGTAAACGGCATGGCGTAGTTTTGCGGCAATTTGATCGCATCATTGCTACCTTTCAGAATTTCGTGATACTTCTTCAGGCCTTCCAATAAGGCATCCCAAGTCCGAACTCTGTCATCGGTGAAGTTCATTTTAAATTTTTCCCAATAGCTTTTGATGTCCTGCTCCGACAGACATCTAGATATCGTAAGGCGCTTCTTTTGCAATTGCTCTCCGATAGTAGGCGCTCTGCAAAATTTCAAATACTTAATTAATTGATAATTAATACAAATTTATAACACAAAATTTGTTAATATAGATGTACTGTATGCCTTAAAATGGTTGCTGTTATGCACCCAATATTCTTCTTTCATATTCTTTTAGCATACATAATAGTTCAAGGCAAAATTCCGTTTGAGACACCAAGATTTGATAGCATTCCATGCATGTGCGGCAAAGAATATATTGGTCCGACAGGGCGAAAAATATCAACTTAGGCCTATGACAAATAAACTCATCAGCAGTTGCGAAACATAATAATGAAATCGGAAATCAATGACTAACGTAAAATTCTTGCCTGTAATCAATAATACTAAATGAACAAAAATAATCAAACAAGGAAAAAGCTGAAAATGCTTATAAATCTCTAAAGAACCAAACAATCCTGTTTGCTTACGTTGCGCCAATCATCCTGTTGGCTTCTTCAGAGCTTAACTGAACAGTGTCATTCAAGTTTGATTTATAAACAACCAACGCAGCAGGAATTCGGAAGATTTGTAAATAATATTACAGTAGCCTGTGGAATTTTCTTTGAAAAACCAAAAAAAGGTTTGTCTCAGGTCTCGCACCAATATTAGAATCAGTCATCCGAGACAACGTTCATGCCCTTCCCAAAGCTCCGCTCCCAGCAAAAATATATAAGCAGATACAGAGTAGCATGCGAGCCAGTTTCAGTTAAACACTGAAGAAGCCAAAAGGATAATTGGTAAAACGTCAGCAAGTTCGATTTATCAACAACTGAGGGCAGGAGGAATCCAGAAAATTATTAAATAGTATAAACTGTACATTACCGTAAGCTGTGATGCACAATCTAGTTCTACATCGATTGACTGTGCATTTCCCTGTACCTGTTTGCAACGGTTATCTTGATATCTTATATATTCAAGGATAGCCCAAATTTCTTTTTAGTCAGCATTGCTTTTGGCAAAGAATGACATGTTCTTAATTGTAGGTACTTAGAAAAAGTTAAAGAACCCTTTAACTGGCCATTCAGATCATACGATTTGTAGCTCCTGGGTTTTCCTCTGTGTGTTTATTAAGTTCGTACAAAAAAAACTGGCATATAGAAGTAATTAGTGCTATGATTTTGCTTACCTTCAATTTACATTTCTTGTTTCTTGTAGGATAAATATAGTCAATGAAGGCAGTATTATTCTACATCTTGGCATCATAAATAACACAAATTGTCTTATTTAAAAAAGAAAAAAATATGTTGTTTTGGTTAAATTGGTAGTTAGCATTATTTTGCTTCTATTTAGGATTTAAGCGTTTATCAAGATTCAAAAATGTTAAAATCCAAGGAGTCCCTTAACTCATTTGACGTAGATAAAACCAAAAACACATCTAATTTGATAAAAAAATAAGATAATCGTTGAATACGTTGGCTGGTATGTTTGCAAATTACATTGTTGGTCCCTTTTTCCTTGCTGGAAATGGAACCGGTCTTCTCAGTTGACCGTCAGTCTCAAAAACGAGCTGTTAACAAAATAAATAAGAACTAAAAGTTCAGATTTTCACGAAATTATATATTTTCACATGACAATTGTTTCGACAACACCGTGTCTTTATCAGATTTGATAAAGACATGGTGTTGTCGAAACAATTATCATGTGAAAATATACAACTTCGTTCGAACTTTTAGTTATTATTTATTTTGTTAAATGGATTTTCATCAAGTAAAAGCCACCTCAGTTCAATTTACGAGCTGTTAAACATACGTTTTACAATACTCCCATGAAAAAAAATTGAGTGGAGTGGGGTCCGGCCAAATATGGGGGCTTTTCGTGCCACCCAACTTTTTCTAATGATTGCAAGCGCTAAGTTTCCAAAGCCAAAGCAGAGTTACGAGGACCATTGCAAAAAAGGGGTCTATAAAATATGCAGCAAAAATCCCAACCTACATATTTTTTTCTGTCGATCTTTGTTTCCTCCACTTAGGTCACCATGGCGCCGCGCACTACTTGCTGGCGTCGCTGCCGGCAAGTACGTGAATCGCTTGTCAGTGAGCTTGTGTTTTTCGTAGCGACCGGAGTGCTTCAAGTGTTAGGTGAACAAAAGCGAAAGTAAGAGTGGTACCTGAAATGAACACATCTAACGAGGTAGGTTTTTTATCTTAGTAGGTAAAAAATAGAAGAATGGACAAATAAGAATAAGGTGCAGCGATCTTTTCAAATCCTGCTAGTCCATATTTCCTTTAAGTAGTAAGAATGGCATCGGAGTCAATTTCGTAAAAATTTGTCCAATCTAGAGCCGCAAATGTCTTTATTTCGGCAGTGTGGCATTTATTTAGAACCATATGCGGTCCCTTTCCCGTACGGCACTATTAGTCGGCCTTACGGCTCCATTTGCCAGCCTTGGGCCTCAGGTTTTCAGCATAATCGTTTTTAAAATGAGCCATATGGATTAAAGTTCCAGCCGTTATGTATAATAAAAACAGTTTCGCCTACAGCTAATGTTGAAATTTATGATTGTACCAGTGACTCGGGTTACCTCAATTGGGAGAACTTCATGACAGTAATATTGATGGAATTGATGATGATACAATTCTTCTTCGGCTAAAGCAGTTAGCTGTAGAGTTTCTTCCCAATGGCTGGAGGGATTGGTAGGAGTCTGTTTTGGAGAGAATTGACCAGCAAATCGATCCCCAGCTTCTGAATAAGGTTAGGTTTGCATTGCCAACTGTTGGCATTGCAAGGGCCTTCAACCCTCAAGCGCCCAAGTCTTATCGAAAAGCTCTATAGGAATATTAAAGTCAAGATGCTTCGCTGGAATTTTTATCGAGTTTTTAGTCCTCCCTCTCTCTTCATGCGAATTAGGGGATCGCATCGGCAACATCAACTAGTCTTGCAATCTATTAAAAATTTAAAGCTCCTATTACTCTCCCGAAAGGAATCATCGGTAAGTCTGGCTGGAGGAGAGTCAAATGCCGAATCAACGGTATTGTCGCCAAGGCTTCCGGTCCAGAAAAAATTCTTATCGTCCTGTATGGAAGATTTAGAGGCAAAGTTTCAGAATTCTCAAGCCTTGTTAGAAGCGAAACGTTTTTACAAACTCTGCTGTAAATACTTCAAGATGGAAAAAAGATGATAAACAATCCGATTCTTTTTCAGTTGAAAAAAAGAGGGATAATTTAGCGTTCGATTTTTCCCTTGCCACCAAAGAGCAGAAACCTGTTATTCCTGTACCAGATCCCAATTTAATGGTACAGAGCTCATGGGACAAAATTAGATATGCAAGATATGGAGGTTCACGAAAGACTCCATGCCGCTCCTGTGTTCTCTAGTTTACAAATCAACGCTGGTCTACCACCTAATAATAACTCTTATTGCGATTTATTGACTAAAATGGAACCCTATGTCATGCTTTACTTAAGCAGCATCAGTGTTTTCAACAAACCGTGTCTAATCTAATAAATAAATATCCAGAGGCAGCCGGAGATGTTAGGGCACCTCAGTCCGCGTTTCGCCTACTGTCTGATGACCTGTTGCAGTATGTGTGTGGTAGAAGGGCGGAAATTATTAAGTTGAGCAGGAAGAATCACATAGTAGCTGACCGTCCGTAGCTTCAATGCTGCAAAAGATTACCCCATCAGCAACTCATTTGTTTGAAGATGAAAGAGTTGAAGTTATGCGTCGAGAATTTGGTCTTGGAAAACTCCCGACAGAGACATTTCCCTTACCAGTCTTGTCGTTTTACTTCTAGAGAGTCTAAGCAACGAAAGGAGAATTCGAAACCGATCCCTAGAGCTGCATATAAGAGAAATCGTCAACATGACAAAAAAAAATTGCTTCGACTAGCAAAACTGTTAACTCTAGCGGCGCTAGTCGGCGTTTTTCACCTTTCGACATTTCCAGCAGGTCAGCCAGATTCGGCAATAAAAAGATGGGAAACAATGGGAGCTTCAAATACAATATTAAAGATGATTGTAGGTTATTCAATCCTATTTATTCGAAAACCTCCATTGATCCCATTTTCGCCCCTAGATTGCAAAGCATTTCAAACGAAATCATTCCGGAAGGTGGAAATAGAAATTCAAAGTTTATTGGAAATGGGCGCTTTGAGAAGAGTCGATTTCGGAACAGAAACCATGTTTCTGATTTTGAAGGAAAATGGGTCAATGCGTCCAATCTTCAATTTAAAACGCCTGAACGCTTACGTGTCTCCACCAAGGTTTCGGTTGATCAGTCAATTAGAGATTCCGTTCTTCCTACAAAGGAACGATTACTTGATAAAATTTGATATACCTCAGGCTTATTTTCACGCACCAATGAAAGAATCGCACAAAAGGTTTCTAACCCTGTCCTATAAAGGAAAAACTTATTCTATGGCGTGTCTTGCATTCGGTCTGTCGACGGGTCCGGTGGCTTTTTCAAAAATAACTAACGGGATAGCAGAAATTCTACGACTGTTTGATTGCCAATCAGCATTGCGACGTTTTACTAAGACAAGGAAAGTTAGCGGTAAACATTTTCACATTCCTTGCATAAATGAAAAAGTCAATTCAAAAGCCCTTAAGAGAAATGGAGTTTTTGGGAATAACCTGGAATACAAACAAAAACATAAAATACTTATCCCAGAAAAAACAATTTTCTGTGGTCATGGAGAAGTGCTAAATCAATTTTGGTCAGTCTAAATTTTGCAAGCTTCGTAGTCCCGTTAGGGCGTTTACGCTGCAGACGGATGCAAAGTTACAATCGCAAACTCCCATCCAGACCACCGGACAAATCATTGCCAATAAAATCCCAAATTTTGAAAGACTTTGCTGGTGGACGAAAGCACTAAATTCGAAGTTCAGCAATATTTTCCGTCAATGCAGATCCATATCTGGCAACAGACGCATCGGATCTGGGTTGGGGCACACAACTTGGAGACGAATTGATGGCCGACACTTGGACAGCTCAACAAAGTCAGTGGCATATAAACCGAAAAGAGCTTTTTGCGATTCTAATGAGCATAAAGAAAAATCTGTCAATTTTGAGAAACAAGTCGATTTTAATTCAATCGGACAACCGAAGGGTGGTATCATATCTGCCAAATCAGTAAGTAACGAAATCTGTGTCCTTACATCTATTGACGGAAAGGCTCCTAAGTTTAGCATTCCGCTTCAACATTTCTGCCGATTATCGATTCACTGTCTCGCCTATAGTCACTGGCGGATTGGCATCTGTCGAAAGAATTGACAAGAATAATTTTCAGGAAGTGGGGAGTTCCCCAAGTCGATCTTTTTGCGACAGCGGTAGTTCAATCTTACCTAAGCCACTCAATAGACAAGAAAACATTATTTGTCAACGCGTTCAGTCGGGAGTGGAGCTTCACTCTGGCCTGGATTGGACGAAAGTTTTTTGGAAACCGGACTTGGAAAACAGAGCAATAGACCATCCAATGAATCTTCCAGATCTTCATCGCAACTCCAATGTCTTGAGGACGGACAAGCCTCCACAAAACGTACATCTATTGAAATTATTGGCCTGGAAAGTTTTGGGTGGAAAATCATTTAGAAAATTAGAGTCAGGAGGAAGTCGACTTATTGTATTCTTCTTGGAGAAAGTCAACCCTGAAAATCTATAGTGCTTCCTGGAAAAAATTGATAGAATGGGCTCAGGATAACCATATTTCTGGGAAAAATCCAGCACCAGTGCAGGTGGCCCTGTATTTTAGTTATCTACATAGGGTAAAGAAGATCTCGTTTAGTAGTACTCTAGTTAGTGATTGCTACTTTTGCTAATCCTACTCGGGGTTCGATGTTGTCATCAATCCCTCCAGTTAAACAAATGCTTAAAGCGATTAGCGTAGCCAAGAAGATTAAAAATACTCCAAAATCGATTTGGGATGGGATCATATCCGCCAAGCTGTTGGCCTCGAGGCCAAGAATTCACGACTTAACTCTGTTGTCAATTGACTCTGAGCATTCTGAAGACGCTGCAGATTTCATAATTTTTTGGCCTCGGTTTCGCTCAAAGACAGACCGCTCTGACTTTCGTCAGTCTGGTTGGAAGATCTTAGATTCTCCCGATGCGGAATTTAGTATACCAATTTGGATACGAAAGTGAATACAAGTATCTAGCTTACGAAGAAAATATTTGGCTCAATACCCATTCTTCAATTTAGAGAGTATTAGCTCTTCGAAGCTCATTTACTTTTCGTTATGTTCATATTCACATAATTCGGAAGGATTCTATTTTGTTTGAATTTATTTACCACGCTGTATTGTTTGACTTTGAGTCTTGAGCTTGACCCATGATTTTAGGTCCTAGCCGGCTTATAAAACCACAGGTACTGACAAGCGATTCTCGTACTTGCCGGTAACGGCGCCACCAAGTAGCGCGCGGCGCCATGGGGACCGAAGTGGGGGAAACAATGCTCGACAAAAAGTAAGGGAAACACGCACTCAGGAAGCTAGAAAAACAGAAAGTAAACCCAATGTTGATGTCTAGATATTCGATGTACTCGAGGATAATAAATAATAAACATTTTACCAGGGTATGTTTTCATTTTTCTGACACTTCCTAGTATACAATTGGCAAAATGTTCTGAGCGCTTGGCAAATTCTAAATTTTTGTTGTCAAAAACATTATTGTAACAATTTCTCATACCAGAGTCCCTTTGTTGGTACATCATCGATGTATTTGTAGTAAAAATGCTATTTAATACACGGTGTCGTTTTTTTGACGGACCATATGAAAAAATAAAGCCAATGATGATATCGCCGATACGAAAAGTCTCTCAACCCCATCATGTAGACCTCAAAAGATACCAACGAGAAAGTGACCTTTATTTTTTTTATATGGTCTTTAAATAAGACCAGAAAAAAAACGAAATTTCGTTTTTTTTGGCGTCTCTGTAGACTTGGTTTCTAATGTTTTAGTTTTCTCAACAGCACGTTATTAATCTTAAAATTTTGCGACCTATTTTTCTGACCTAACCATCTTCTATTTATTACTACAATTCAATGCATTACATTGAACTGAATTGAATTTTGTGTTTAATTTCCTTAATCAGGACCTTCGAGCAGATAAAAACGTTAATAACATTAATACAGTCATGACCATTTATCGTGTATCGGACTATTAGTTTTACAGTTCAAAAGCGACTTAAAACTCTTTCGCATTAAGAAACAGATCATACTCATCATCAGAAAGTGTCCAGAACGCGCTTTATCAAATTCAAATTCTGTGATCGATATTTTTGCAAAAAATTGCAGAAAATTAGAAAACTAAGTTAGTCCCATACCCAGTTTTTGCGACGTAATACGATGTCACGAATTCCCTAAGAGCCCTCAAAACGTAAACGGAACTGATGATCAAAGGATGGTTGAACTGGCAGGATGCGTACTCTGATATTTTGGCCAAGGACACACGTTTGCGATCCCTGGTTTTTCTCCCGGACGACACGCTAAAATTTGTTATTTAGTTTTATTCGCAATTTTCGCTAGCTAAGAAGCGTTTTACTACTGATCGCCTATAGCCGCACCGCAAATATCCTCCGCGTCTTCGGATCTATCGAATAGATCGTCGTCGATGGTTTCGTCGGGGACAATCAGCTCGGAGAGTATATTTTCGATGACGTCATCTGTCGGACGTATCGCCTCCAACACGTCGTCCAGCTCAGGTATTTGGAGTGTTTCCGAATCTCCGAACTCTTAAATTACGAACACGAATGACATACTCACTGCGTGTCACAGAATTTGCAACATCCGGTAAAAACGACTTTGTCAAACAGTATACAAAAATATTTCGCTTAATTTTGAAAAAGGTTGTGTGGCATGCTAAAAGGATATTTATCGAAAGGGAAATTTTGTGTATTGATAATAAATCGAAAAAATCTGGGATGTAATTAATGGAGAATCCAAGAATACGAATCTTGAAAGGTCTAAATGGTTCCCAATGATTTCAATGTCAATAAATTCAGTAATTAATTTTTTAAACGTAGTTAATACAATAAATTTCGATAAAACTAATGCATTTTGATATAAAAGCAACAGTGCGAACGTTATATCTTTTCTTATGAATTGTAATAGCAAGAACGCGATAATCACCACTGATAAGGCTCTAAAATCTAAGAACTTTGCGAGATACGATGGAATTTCTTCTGAATTCCTAAAACCAACACTGGACGCTGTAGCTGAGGAATTTACTGCTTGGTTAAATAAATTTACTTTACTTTACTTTGTACTTCTAATAGAAAGTCTAAGGATAAGAAACTTGAAAGTTTAAAGGGCTTAACAACTGACCAATGAATTTAACATTAATGAAAACACAACATTCCCCAACAACAACATGGTACTAAAAATATTTTTAAATCAAACGGGTTTCAAAACCATACATTACCAAATCACACGAAATTATTGTTTGTTGATTCCGGTCCTACTGTAGATTGTTTTACGCATGAGAGAACAGATCGAAACGATTAAACTTTTGAATAAAAACACTGAATGTCCCCGGTATAAATATTTCGTTAAAATAAGTCATGTGATAATGAATCTTGTAAACGTTGCGGTTCTCTTTATATGAATCCCGTTGACGAGACAGAAGTATATAGTGCATTCCTCTCCCTTAATAAATCACCATCAACTGACATTTTGGTAGCCTGTTGATAACTCCTTTGACTTCATTGATTAATAAGAGCTTTCTCACTGGCGTGTTTCCTTCTAAATTTAAAATTGACAAAGTTCAAACGCTTTTAAAAAGGAGAGATCCCGACAATGCCGTCCTATTAGCATAGTTCGTTTATTTGGGAAGACGTAATTTGTTGAATCAGGGCCAGTTTGGTCTTAGAGTTGGATATTCTACGACAAAAGCCCTATTAAGAATCTTGGAGCGTCGAGGGGCTCGACTCCGGGCTTCACAGTGTCATAACACCATGCGAATTGTCCGAAGCCTTTGACCGCGATGATATTTTATGGAAAAAATTAGAACACTATGGAATAAGGGGCATGCCTTTGAAATTTCTCGAAAATTATCAGAAAAATTGATCTCAACTGGTTTTCTTTAACAACAAACTTTCAACCGCCCAGGAAATATGGAAGTACCGCAAGGCTCAATTTTGGGTCCGCCATTATTTATCGTATATGTGAATGACTTGAATAATTTTCTGATTTCTGTCAAAAGTGCAACGAAAGAATATCTGCTTGCTCATTACTTTTATTTAGTTCAGTTTATTTGAATATTTCTGTCACACATAACATATGTTCTATGTGTTTCTATTTAATTGTTTTACATTTATATTGTTTTAACTTGGTCTTGGCACAAACATATAGCCTGTGATAGTTAAGATTTATTAACATATATTAATATTTTATTGTGATGACGAAACCTTAAATTTGCCGATAAATAAAGTTTTTATTCTCATTCGTAAAGAATGTTTAACAATAATAGGCAGAGTCTATATCCAGCGTGGTTATACAATTCGTACTAAGCACAGAACCAAGTCATTTTCTTATTTATTAATCGCTGCCTGACTTTATTTTTCATTTTATGAAATGGTTTATCGCTAAATTCAACAGGTAAAATGTTCGATACGATATCGATTTGTTTTTTAACATTTTGTTAGTCTTGCATTTGAAATAAAACGGTTAGTATTTTGTGCGTGTCTCGTGATATTTTGTGTTATTCTATGCAATTATTTTTGATTTTCTTTTGGATCTCAGTTAAATAGTAGATATTTCATCCGATCAAGATCTCTAGTTCTTACATACATTAAAAAAGGTTCAAGAAGAAGAAGAAGATTAAGTTTATCGATGAGGGTGCATTCAACACCAGAGTTCTATCATTTCAAAATTGTAGATACTGCGCCAGAGAAAATCCCCACTTGGTTATAAATTCCAAAGATCAATATTGTCAATCTCTTGAAGAAACAGTACTTTTGAATTCTGGCATCCGAGATTTGCTCGATTTTTATTGTTAGAGAGTGATAAAAAATAAAGTTTTATAATAAACCAGGCCCCGGAAATCGAGACAATCTTTGTGCCAGAATAAGACAAGTCTGTCAAGAAATTAGGATCGCAGAACTTAGACGAGTATTCAGGCGGAATCTTAAAAGAATTGAAAAATGTATTCGATTAAATGAAGAACTAATCGAGCAGTAAGTTATCATTTGTGCTTTAATTATTTTCTTAAAGTGAACTTACTAAAAATTATTGTTTTCTTAAAGTTGTCGTTGTTGGTGTTATTATTTTAGTAAAGAGTTAAAATTACATGAATTACACTATTAAATTGACCATATTGTAGAGATTTTTCTTTCCATGGCGCAGTACTTTGTCAAACAAAAAAAATAAACTTTTAATAATTTTGAATATTGACCAAAATGACGAAAAAATTAAAAATGCTAATTTTGCAAAACTTCAAAAATATATTCATTTAAATAACCAAAACATAGGGATATCTTTATCTTAGTTGCGATACACTACAAAAAAGTTTTATAGTTTTTCTTAATTTCAACTTAAAATTATATTAAAAGAAAAAAAATCTTTTTTTTTCTATTTTTAGGAATCATGTGTTTGTCCAATTTATTTTCAAATATTTTAAAAATAAATAGACGGTATACTTAGTGTTTATTAAGTTTTTTTATTTGAAGAAAAAGAAAAAAGTTCGTACATAAAAGTTTTATAGTTTTTTCTTAACTTTAAGAAATTTTTATGAACAAAAAAAATAGTATAAAAAGAATCTCAGGCAAAGTTACATTTTTTAAAATGGTACAAACTGTCATGTGAATGCGGTAAGGTTATGTGACATTTTGAGGTTTCTCCGAGGTAAAAAAGCATGGCGTTGTTTATAAGTGCAAATTCATTGTGGTATAGTTGAAAATAGCTCGTTAAATTCTTATAATGAAAATCAAAAATTTGACATTAGACGTTTATTTAAAAAAAAAACAATACAAAACGATAATGGAATTATTTGTAATATGTTTTAAATGTTTCGTGGATACTTCCAGTCGATTAAAATGAAGAGTTACTTTTTTACTTTTATAGATATGAAAGATCTTGTTTCAAAAAAAATTCATGTTTTGTATTAATTTATAGAAAATTCTGGACTGTCCATTGAAACTGTTAGAAATTATTTTGAAAAGTCAAAAAACATCATTCAACTCTTAAGAAATATGGATACTGCCCCTAAAAAATTTTACGCTTTCAAGAATTGACTTTTTTGCGGTTTTTGCGAAGGATATATATATGATGGGATAATTTCAAGAAGATCCTAATATTATTGTGCACTGGTGAGACCACCTTTACCACTGCTGGAATATTTAATAGGCACCTTAACTCAATTTAATACCAACAAGACGGCAAGACCAATTTACCTAATTGCCGTTTTCAAACATGGATTGGACGATATGGATACATGGATACTTTTTAGAAATTTTAAGGAAAAAGTCTACGCAGAGAGAAATCGAAACATGGATGACTTACAATCAAGACACACTCGAGACCCTTAGTTTTTAATAATTGCCATTAATGAAATTCCTGCTGATAAAATTAAGTGTTTTGAGAATAATGGAGGACACATAGCATATTTATAAGATTATTTTTCTATGTATTTTAGTTTTTTTTTCTCTAAATTTGTTTTTTGAATATCTAAAAGTGCTTCTTAATGGCACTAGTTCGCCAAATTATTCCCTGTATTCTCTGTATGTACGTATTATTTTCATAAAAAAAATTATTATAATTATATAAAAATATAATAATTATAATAATATTATAATTAAACAGTTTTTTTCAATTATATAAGAACGAATTTGCACTTATAAACAATGCGATACTTTTTTATATAGTTATTTATATTTATCAGGTGTTGGAATTTCGGTGTTACACAAGTATCTTTGAAATTGGTGATCGCTATGTGGAAAGTATCTTACTCGAAAACATGGACGACAGCTGGGAACTGTGGGAATAGATTTTGCTCTCTGTTTTCGTTGTACCGCTTAGTGTAGAACTCTGGCAGACTGGACAAAACGTGTACGGCAAGAAATGGTTCACGAGAACGTTTATGTAGGATTGGTCTTCAATACCAAGCGCCTAAAAAATTTTGTCAGTCACAACGCTTGTAATCAAAGGAAAAAAAAGAGACAGTTACATTTATGTTTTGTGGATAATTTAATTTATTTATAAATAAGTAATTATAAGTAAATAAAATAAAATGAATAAGCTATTGCGCATTGCAAAGCAAATACTAATTAAACATTTTTGAAAAATTCGCATTATTCTGAGACGCAATAAAAAATCTTATAGAAGAAATAACAACGTTGTAGCCTGATACTTATTCTGAATTCTAGGCAAAATGGTATATAAGAAACATTTCATCATTTTTCTGATGCCTTGTCAAATAGAAAAAATGCAAAGGGTACCTTAAAATTCAAACTCCTCAAAATGATGCAGTACCTCAAAATTTTCCGTTTCACCAAAAAATTTTATTAGCAAATATCGCGATAACTACATATTTCTATCTTTGACGATAGGTGAGATACTTATGAAAAAAGTGCAATTTGGAAATGTTTGTCTCATGGTATAGGGTTGTTTCTCCTGGAATGGTGTTGGCTCACGTTACAAAATATCTGGTACCGTGGAACAATATATTAACACACTGGAAAATGACAACACTGCCTGGCTGCAGGATAATAATATTGATGCTTTATCGTAGCCCATACCTTAACCCAATCGAAAATCTCTGGATAATCATTCAAAAAAAAGTTAGGTTAAAGAAGTTTCTAAAATTTGGACGAACTATCCGAGGGTATGAGAGAAACCTGGACCAACATTTCACTAGAAACTAGCAAAGTTCTAATACAGTCCTTGTGTGGAAGGTGTTCTAAAGTAATTGAAGGGAACGGATAATCAAAAAAAATGCTAGAGTAAATATACGTTCCCAATCAGTTTCCCTTTTAAAAACGTAGTTTTTTTACTAAATTAGTGTCACTGTATACCAGGTTAGTAAAAAGCACCGCAACGCTTAACTATCTCCAAAACTGCCAAAACTGGAGCGATAAAATTCAATACATGCGGGTTTTTGGACATACAGAATACAAAACAAACCAAAATTAACCAGAACTAACCCAAACTAACCAAGACTAACCAAAACTAAGCAAAACAGCAGTGTTGTCAGATTTCGCGATATTTATAATTCTGGTAACCTTTTACTGATACACATTTAAAGTTTTCTATGTTTTTAGCATTTTTAGATTCCTCATGTTGTGGAGATATTTAAGCGTTCTGGTGCACTTTACTGAAAAAGCGGTGTTGCAGTAGCTCAATAATTAACAGAAACAAACTTTTGAAATTATGAGAGTAGTATAGTAGTGTCGGTTCTAAGCCACCTTTGTCGGGAAAATTTGAATTTTCGTGAATGTTCGGGTGTGTTCGGGTATGTTCGGGTGTGTTCGGGTATATTCCGGTGTGTTCGAGTGCAATCAGATATGTTCGGGTGTGTTCGGGTATGTTCGGGTGTATTCGCGTATATTCGGGTGTGTTCGGGTATGTTCGGGTATGTTCGGGTGTGTTCGGGTTAGCGTGGGAAAATTTGGAATCTTTGGGCATGGTCGGGTTGGCGCATGCATTCTCATTCGGGTTTTCGCGGAAAATCTTCGGCGTCCCCAGGCGCAGTATAAATCGTATTCGGCTATGTTCGGACTAACTCGCATATGCAGAAAAAAAGGGGAAATTTGTGGAGGGGTATGTTTAATAAATGCCGGTACGTTAACAGAAAGTTCTTAAGATTGAAGCGAAGTTGACCTGTTTAATAATAAATATGAACAACCAGGACTTTTGCATAATGGAAGACGGTAACGCGTTAAATATTTTTAATTGATTTACTTTAATACTAGCCTTATTTTAGATTTCGTTCCCTGTCTATTAATATCAGATCATCGGGTGCTTATGTCACGCTTACACCTTCATGTTCGAAAATGTCAACGTCCTTTTGCATTTCAACCTCTTCCTCTCAATTTATCCGCGTGGCTTCGACAAATCGATAACAGTTATTCGAAACCATCTGAAGATTTGATTCAGGAAGAAGAAAATGGAAAAATCGGTTAACACCACAACAATCATTCCAGTTTTCAAGGCGATTCTAAATCTACACTAATGGCGAACAATACTACTGAACGTCATCAGTTGATTCAAACAGAAAATTGATTATTCTCTACATATTCTGAATGACAAATTAAATAAATCGTTTTTAATATTTTGCCTGTTATTTAAATCCCACTGATAGAGAAAATTTTTGTCTGATATAACTAAATCTAGAAAGGTATAATGAAAATAAAAAAATATTAGGTGTCAAATTGATTTAGGAAGAGAATCATACAACCAAAGATATATAGATTGAGCGTTATTTAAGGATCACATACATTTTTCACTTAATCCTACGTTGTGATATGTACAAGATATTGGAACTGTCATACATAATTTAAACGAATCAACATTTACAATTCGAGGGCAATCAGTTTTTAAAAAGTTTCGCAGGAAAGTTTCTTTAATGTCTCCTTTAACATAAATAATATCCACTTCTTCATCAACAATATTCTTCTGTAGTATATGCTGGACTTCTTCTTGTTCACTTTTTCTATCACTATATCGCAGAGGATGATGATGCTTCTCCAAATATCGTATTTGTTTTCTGTAACACTCATCCAAATCGATGAAATGTTTAATTGTTGAATTTTTTCGCGTCAACCGAACACACCCGAACATATTCGAACACACCCGAATACACCCGGACATACCCGATTGCACCCGAACGCACCCGAATATACTCGAAGATTCAAAATTTTCACTCGCCAACCCGAACATTCACGAAAATTCAAATTTTCCCGACAAAAGTGGCTTAGAACCGACACTACTATACTACTTATGACACTTACGAGACAACAAAAGTAAATTGGGCATTCCGTTTAAAATAACATTATGACGTGCAACGTAAAAGTGAATTCTGCAAGTTCAAAAACTCCCAAAAATAGAATTTTATCGCCCCAGCTTTGGCAGTTTTGGAGATATTCAAGCGTTTCAGTACTTTTTACTAATCCTGCATATGTGAGTAAGACTCACCGAAAAAACATTGGCCAATTTTACCAAATGCTTTTGCTCCTCTTCGTAACCTTTCAGGAGATTGTTCAAACCTCTCTCAGTCAAAAACCCGGATTTGTCCGAAATACGCATTAAAATGTGTCTTATCACTCCCCGTTGAGCTTGTGCCTCTTCCTCTCTGCTACCGTCAACTTCCCGCGAGATATCTTGCGCTTTTGAGGAAACGCTCACAGTCTTTTTAATTTTTTCTGCACTGTCTTCGGCCAGTTCTAAAACATTAGAGGAAATATGAGAAAATCAAAAACTCGCTAATAACAGGTAAATACAATATTTGTTTACTCTGCGTTATTGAGCATTTGTTTATCTGAATTATATGAAATCCGTGCAAATCTGAAATCAATTCTAAGTTTTTATACGGTGGTGTCCCTTTTATTAAAGGCGCAGGAGAGAACTGCAGGTATGTATGCGTGTGAAAAACTATAGACATAAGCATATTTAGATAACGTAAAATAGGCGCGATTGCTTGTGTATACCAAGTTTTATTTTATTTGACCTTTGAATAATTTAATTTATTTAATTTATTTAATATTTAATAATTAACATTTCATATTATCGGTTCTGTCCAGTTTTGTTTTACTTTTTAAGGCATTAGGTGCAATCGAAAAATAGCGAATTATTGACTTTAGAATCTGAGGAAAAACACAAAGAGCTATAGACATTATTGGTAGATCTCAAAGTGTGGCAAAGTTTGGATTCCAAAACTATGGTAAAAAAAAACGTTCAAAGCCTCATCGTCGGTGCGCCTTCACAACAGCGCTGGTGTGTGGATATAATCTAAATTGTGATCCAAGTTTAGTCAAACAGTGGGCAGCTGAATAAAAACATTTGAAATATAAAAATTGTCTTAGTAAACACAAACATAAATTAAATCTACCTAAATTTGCAAAAATATGTAACAAAAGATGACCTTTAGCAAGATATTAAATCTTGATGCTCCCGAGAGATGTAAGTATTATTGGCATAATTTGACATTTGATTAAAAAAATAAGTGTCGAAGAATTGAAAGAGGTGGTTCAGTTATGTTGTAGGCCGGTATATGTGCCTCCTTAAAAGCCGAATCTTCTACCACTCATTACACTTAATGAAGACGAAAACATAATTTTTCAACAGGACAACGCACCCATCCATGTAGCCTGAACTTCAAAACAGCGGTTTCAAGATTTTGGTATCCGGTTATTAGAATGGCCAGCAGTTAGTCCACACCTAGATCCGATAGAGAACGTCTGAGGAGTTAATTGATATAATGCCTAAAAGACTAACAGAAGTTATAAAAAATAAATAAAAGCAGTGAGTATACAATTTTTCAGAGTTCAAATGTATAGATGGTAGGCTGTTAGAGATTTTCATCATTATTAAATATGCTATTTCTGTACCTGAACTATTTTCGAAAATATTCAATTAGTTTTAAACGAAATATTTAAATGTGCATAAGTCTATACTTTTTCATAACTTTTGAAATTTAAAATTGGAGAATACTATTTACTCATTTTGTGGATTACTTCTGCGATGAATCGAACTCCAACATATGCCACATATGCATGGAAAGCTGTAAACTACTGGTGTCTCAAACTAAATATATTTGGATAGAAGATGTTGAGAGATTTTTGGACAAGTGATGAATCTGTTTTCAACATTATATTTCTTCAGAACTGTTGATATGTGGTCGGTAATGTTTTGTAAGGAACAACTATAGTGGCAAGTGTGGGGTTGCTTTCGGACTCATTGTCTTTGAAAACTTGTGGTGAAGTGTATAGAACACTTAATATCATTAATGCTGAAATTATTAGAGAGAAGAGCAGATGTTAACTTTTAATTCTCCGTCCAGTTGATTCGGAATTGAGATGGTTTTTTAGCTTTGTAGACAAGAGGGCATTAATATATCGGTCTGTGTGCGTTAGTTTTATGTAAACTGAATGAATCATTTCAAATATCGAGTCTATCCTAAACCAAGTGCCATCTCAAACCGCAACAATCCTTAAGAAATCCAAACCTCCTAAATCTAATATTCCAAAGTAAATAATTTTAAAATCCGAGTCTCAACAAAATATTCAAAATATTCTTACAGACGGATGCTATAGTCAAGTTAAAAAAGATCCTGCGTCATCTATGGAACGCAACTTTAAATCTGGTATCGCTTATTTTCGAGCCTAAATTTGAATTGACAGACCGGTTATTGTAACAGAAGTTGGAAAACGTAACGTGTGGAGAAAAAACGCGTTTAAAAAAAAATTAAAGAGTGACAGAAGTGGCTCAAACATGAGACATGTGCACGCGTTAAGTTTATGTTTTATCAACATTTTAAACAATTGAATTAAAGAGGGTTAGATGAGTGTATCAATGCATTATAATATAATCAAACTAAAGTAAGACTGCATACAAAACTGTCTGAAATGTATTTATTGCCTATTCAATTAGGAGTGGCTTAAATGAAGGATACTTGCACAGTATCCCAAGAGGACAAACCTTTTTCAAACTCACATTTAGATCATTGTATTCCATTCATTAAATGGCGCCCATGCAAAACCACTTCAACAGAAACCAGTTTCTTGAATGTTTTTGCCTACATTTAAAGCAATAGATATGTAGTGTAGAACATAACAGGGTTTTAGGTAATTCAGGGGCCCTTTGAAGGGGTTTTCGATGCTGCGTGATATTGGAACTAAAAAATCATTACTGTCGGAAATATAATTTTGAGGAAATTGTTCATTAATTTTTATGTTGTGACTCTTATATACTCTTTGGTAAATACACATTAATATTAATTTAATTTTCATTTCTTATGTTGTATTATTAGACAATATGTACTTATGCATTTTTTATGTTTGTTTTGAACTTCAGAACTAGTTGTTATCTATTTTAGAACTTCTGATACAGTAGGGTGGCCTGAGCTGTGGTCCATACTTTAACGGTTCTATGTTGGCTCATTAATTTGAATTGATCCCTAAAATATTAAATTGTTTCCAAATGTAGATCCAGTAACGAGATTAAAAGCTTATTTTAGATAAACTCAGCTTTTAATTAAAAAAAAATTAAATGTGCAAACAATTTCGATCAGAAATTTATATCAAATACTCCACTGTGCATTCGTTGGATATTTCTCTTGTTTATGTCCGTTTTTTAAATATTTTTATATTTATACCATAAAATTTTGCGCTAAGTATGTCAGTCTTACCATAGACGAACTTTGAGTCCACCACATTAAGAGCAGTTTTGTAACTAGGCAGTGACTTCTTGTCCACAGTAAAGTCTTGAGGCGGATCCCACTCCATGCCCAATTGCTGTTCGTAGAGGATTTTGTCCGTGTCTAAAATCTGCCGCAAAATACTTTGAACGCTTTTCTTGTTCATCTCCCACACCATATGGAACTTTTCGTCGTTTACGCGTGCAAAATGATCGGCTTTGGTTTCCACCTAAAATAACAAATTGAAAAATGATTGTCAAGCAAATCTCAAGCCAGCAGCGTGACGATATTTTAACCTCTGATAAAGAAGCACTTGTTCAGAAACTCGTAGAATTAACATAAGATGATAACATGGAATACTAGGGTGCTTAAAAAATTTTAGTTTTTTTTTAGCTCTTACCATCTCAAATGTTTCTTTTTGATATAAAAAAATATCCTCACCAAAGATGAGCCCTGTAACTCAACTCTAAGGGGTCGCTTTTTTTATTTTAGTTTCCCTTTTACATGGGAAAAATTCTTTTTTCACTAAAATTTTTACAAAATACAAATTACAAAATACCAATTTATATTGTTAAACTTGAGTCTTTAAGCTTTCCAAAACCTTATAACAAAGTATGATTATCATTAAAAGAATAATAATTAGAGCTATTTAAAAATTACTAAATTGTGAAAAGGTCGTCAATGGTGTAGCATAACGAGGTGTAGCTCCGATTACTGTTTACAATCGTGTGCTTAACAAAAAATGAAGAGCAAAAACAATGTTTACTCCAATTAGTTCAAAATCACAGGCAAAAATTCGCGAATTGTACTAAAACAACACTCAGTAGTGAAAAATAAATGGTGTACCGAAAAGGCGTATTTCTCTTTCTCTAATAATATTATATTGAATTTATAATCAATAATAACCTAATCACTAAAATGGATATGTTTGATTTTTTTGTTCGATACTTTATATAAGCTAATATATAAAAAATTGTAATCGATAATTAGATGTAATAATATATATCATTCATTTTTTCAATTATCATCATGAGTTCTGCCACCCACACTACGTAGTGACAACCATTTTTGAAATTTGTAATCCATAAAAATAACACTGTCTATTCCCTGATTAAAAAAATGAATTGAAAAGTATTGAAAAAAACGACATATCAATGCTTCTAAATACTTTAAATTCCTCCTCTTATGCAGAATTGAATTTCTCAATTTTTTTTAATTTATTTTTCTAATCAGTGTTAGTTAGGATAAAAATTTTGAGAAATTATGTAGATAAAGAAGAAAAGTTCAAAATTTAGTAATTTTTAAATGGCTGTAATTGATCTTCTTATAATAATCATACTTTATTATACGATTTTGGAAAGCTTGAAAACTGAAATTTCACAATATAAATTAGTTTTTTGTAAAAAATCGCGAAAATTATACGTAAATTTAATTTTAGTGAAAAAAGATTTTTTCCCATGTTAATTAAATGGGAAACTAAAATAAAAATAACGACCCCTTAGATTTGAGCTCTAGAGCTCATCTTTGGTGAGGATTTTTTTATATAAAAAAGGAACATTTGGTAGGATAAAAAAAAAATTTTTAGAAGCACTCTAATTGAAGACGCAAACCAACACACCCAAGAAAGTATGCTACAAGCAGGAATAGAGAAATAGAAGAAAAACAAAGACCATTTGAATCCAATCTTACCTAAAAGATAACCAGAATAAATATAGAAAAAACAGAGACGTAAAAAAGATAGTAAGCAAAGAGGAGAAGGAAAATTGGAAAAATACCTGACACAACTTCGACAATAGGAAACAAAGAATAAACATAAGTGAAATAATTGTTACAAGGATTTACTCACAGGATAAAGACAAAAGTTTATAGAAGACAAGAAGTGGTCCACCACAATAACTAACATCGATATAAAAAAAGAAGATAGAAAACAGTGTAATAACTACTACGAAAAAAGGAAATAACAAACAAAGTTCAAGACCTATGTCACTGTACCCAGGAAAGAAGCACGGAAAGCGATGAAAAAACTGGTTATACCGCTAACACTTACAAATGCAATGAAGACCGTATATAAGAACAACAAAATACCCATAAAAATAAGAAACAAGATAGTGAAGAGCTTATCAATATCGAAGGGGCTATTCCAACATTATTGATGCAAACATACATTGATAACGTGGAAACGCAAATGAGAAGACATGGGGGAGTGAACATCTTTACACACTCTACATTGCAGATAACCACATGGTGATCATTGAAATTAAACTCACTTCCAATATATTTTTGTGCAACCTCTTGATGTTGTCGGAAATTTTTTTAATCGTATTCGCCGAAGCGACCTCGTACTCGTTGATCTCGTCCCGCAAACCTTTGATGATGTCCTGCAATTTGTTCATTCGCCTCTTCTGTTGCGATTTTATTATTATGTTTTCGTCCTCCCTTTTCTTCAAGATCTGGTAGTTGTACTCCAATTTTTCGCTATTTAGCAATGTCAAAGCTTTGATCCGTTCCAGCTCCCTTTGGAGAGCGTCGATGTCGTTTTCCAATTTAATTTTGATTTCTCTGAAACGTTCCTACAACAAAGAACGCGGTATAACCGCAACATTCACAAAGTAATATATCTCGTTTATTATTTGTTTTAGAGAAAACTGTTAAATACAAAAATTATGGACGACACTAAAAGTAACAATTTAAAATTATTTTCAAATTTACAGGACGATATATAAATATGTCGGAAATCAAACATATTATTTTAAATGGAACGCGCTGTCTATTATGGCATTAATAGATCTCCCTTTTATACTCATTGGCCTAATATGGGGTTCTTAGGGTCTACACTGAATGTTTTCGAAGTTATAACCATTTTTTCATATAAAATGCCCTGTGTTTACTACCTTACATTTTTTATTCATTTCCGACAGCTGTAATTTTATTATGCCAACAATTTTATAAAATGGTAAAGTCATTTTTCCAATCCTTGTCTTGAAGTTAGATCGAATCGTTTATACAGGCTAAATACCCTGCACATTATACTTGCATTAGTTACTCCTATTACTGATATTTCAATTTTATTAGGTACAGTTTGGTTTTCCCTATTTAGGAACCATCCTGTATATTTAAAAACAATTTCAAATTTTATCGTACTAAGATAATAAATGAGACAAACTATTTGTACACCTTGTATAAATAAACAATTCGGGACCATTTGCATACCTCCATAAGAGTATATTATATTGAAAAATTTTAAATGTAAAAGTATGGATGCGATGCATAGATGTGGTTTCCCCTATAGACTAAAAAACATTGTGTGCAACATGTTTGAACACTCGAATTAGTTTAAATTTGTCGATTTGCGAAATATTTTTAACCACTTCCATCGGTCATATGTTTCCTGAATCAGAATTATCAATAAAAAAACTAAAAGTAATATTAAAAAAGAAACCTGTAACGTTGGAACTAAAAAAGGAAGATTTTAAAAGCAACAGAGTGTGGTGCAAGCTAAGAATCGAGCAAAAATTACATTAATTATTGCTAACAAATGTATGTACATTGTACAGTCAGAAAAATATAAAATGACCATTAAATTAATTTAAATTCAAATTCAGTTCGTTATAAAAAAATACTTATTATTATTTCAACTTCCACTTCCACAGGCTACTGTAATACTATTTACAAAATTTCCTGCGTCGGTTGTTGTTGCTAACGTTTCGCCAATTATCCTGTTTGCTTCTTCAATGCTTAACTGAAACTCAGTTTCATTTAGGAACAGGATGATTGGCGAAAAATTAACAAGTCCGAATCAGCAACAACCGACGCAGGAATTGAAAATTCTCATCCTGTCCCTCCAATATGCATGGAAAGCTGTAAACTCCTGATATCTCAAACGGATTGTTGTCTTTGATCGAAGATGTTAAGAGTTTATGTGTTGTGTTCTTGTTATATTTTATTAAATGATAACCGATGATTTTTGGACTGGATGGTGATGCATTAAGGTATTGGAGTTAATTTAACCTTCTTCCCCAACACTTTTTAGGATTCAGAGGAATGCCACGACGTTATTCTGATTAGCCAGATTCTTTTACTGAATGACACAATGACCCAATGTTAAATCTGATTTTCTATTAGTGGGAATATCTAAGAATAGAGGATTATTATTGGTTTCTATTTCATTAGTAAAACGTATGTTAGTGTATATAGAATTTAAATGGCTAAGAAAATCTAGAAGGGATTCTTGACTATGAGGCCAAATAACAAAAGTATCATCAACGTAGCGTCTCCATAACTTTGGTTTTAGATTGAAAATGTCTAGGGCCTTCTTCTCAAAAACATCATTTACAATGACTGATGATAATGGAGAACCGATAGCTATTTCTGATATTTATTCATAAATTTGACCGTTACAAGAAAATTTGCCGATTTCTTGCAGGCGATGAGTTTAAGTACCACATTTTTAGTGCAATAAATATTTAACAAATTAAAACGAATTCAAACTGTAGGCAGACAACTAACTATAAATAGCGAAAATAAACGGAAAAAACAAAATCCAACTTTTTTTGACGCGGTTAAGTTCTCAAGGTTTTCACTGCATTGCTATTGACCATTTAATGACATAAAAAACTCATATCGTTGCATTTAATCTTTTCCCAGAAAATTATTTTATTTCCCGTAATGTCAGAAAACTCCACCTGCAAGCAAGGTAAGAAACGAACACGTATTAGCTAATTTAATAAAATCTGAACTTACAATTAAGAGTAAATTCGAGGATCTTTCAAATATGTTTATGATAAAATTAATTAAAAATAAGACTTCCCAAAATGAAACAGCATTTACAAGAGCAGATACAGGAAAGCCTGTCACAGCTAAATGAAAACTGTAATAACAGATTTATCACTTTTTAATGATAAAGGAAAATACCAACTAATAATTGTGAATCCTCAACCTCCAAAATTATATTCTTAAAAAAAATTACACTAACGGATATGCCAATTAGAGCCTGTAGTTTCTTTTGTACTAGCACCATCAGTTGAACTTTCAAGAAGATTAATGAAAATTTTAGAATATCATATTGCCTTTAAACTTAGATATGTTATCAAAAATTCGTTCGAAGTAACCAACAAGACAAAAAAGACATTAAAATTCGTCCTAAGGCGATTCTAGTTCCTTTGACGTCGAGCATTGACGTAATAAACTTAACAGACAGTACTCTCGCTCAGAGACAAATGAACCCTGTCATAAAACAAGACTTGTTAGATAGTTTAATAGTTTGTCTAGACCAAAATTATGGTGAATTTAATTATCAATTTTAATTTGCGAAATAAGGATTAATTAACTTAGTCCACTAATTGCAGAAATTTTCATCGACAATGCAGAAAATATCATAAAATATTTCTTTGGTGGGATGATGATGTTTTGCTTGTTCCCCTGAAACTACAGTCTTTTTTGAATCTTATTAACTCCATACATAACCGTATAAAATTTGCCATAGATACAGGACTAGATAACTCTTTAAACGTTTAATTTAGATTTTTACATTTACCATAAACACTCACACAAGGACAGAGTAATACATAATAACACAAATTTCCGTCACACACACTTTTATTCGCCTTTTATTCTTTTATTCACAAACTCTTTCATATAGCATTTTCCGCAGAAAAAATACCTTTTTACAATGGTTAAGACACCTCTTTGATAGATAAGATTATAACTAAAAAACAATTTCAAATAAATATCGGACAACCTAGTAAAACATTTAAGCAACGCCTTAACGAACATAAAAGAGCGTATAAACTTAAAAGTTTGGACTCTAACTATGCCATTCATTTAAATTCAGAAATGAACAAGTTTAACGATAATTTTGATATTTTACATAATGAACCAAAAAGCAAGAAATTAAATTTGTGGCATGCTATGGAGATTGACAAAATCAGACATTCGAAGAAACACCAATTGGATTTAAATAGGTCTCCGTTGTTAAATTGAAATTTATAACATCGCAACGGTAATTATTAAGATTGGATTTTGTATTAGAAACTGTCGTAGATTTTTAAATTTTAAGGTTAAACAATTACGGCCATGTCAGAAACTTGAAAATAATTTTCGGCATTTTGTCATGGCCGGTTTATCCCACTTTCTGGAATACCGGGTATATTAAACAAGCACAAAAACTATTTTTTCTACTCTCTTCTGTAAAATACCTAATTACCCATCGATCTAGCGTGCGGAAAGCGTCACTTTACACGTCAGTTGCTTTTCCCACGAATCCGAGCCACTTCGGACATTTCCGGGATTTGGGAGCAATCGGATGTTTTCGGAAATATTTCCCACGCTTTGAATTTTGACGTTTGTCAATTCTGACGGTCATGTCAGTCAATGTATTTGTGTTGTTTTGCGAAAATGTACCCAAAAACTAACGGTCGTAGAAAAAGTCACACAACACGTTCGGTACACTTTTCAACTCACTCGTTTATTAAAAACTCGCTCCGCTGCGCTCCGGTCATGTCAAATAAACTCCTGAGTCAAATGCCGTTTACCGCACTTGTTGCATCATATACTATTTTCAACGGAAATTGAGGTAATTGCACATTTGACCGTAGTTGTTAGATCTGACCAACTTTTTGGATATTGTCAAATTTAATGGTACTTTCCTCCCTGGTAAAATACATATTTTAATAAAATATATATTTTCGTATTTTATATTTTAGAACATACTTTTATGAGGAATAAGTATTATTTCTAAAATTAATAACAAAAAAGTTGCCCATATAGTTTCAACCTGCTGAGGCATATTGTCTATATAAGTCAAAGCATAAGCGTTATGCCGAAGTCAAGCGAAAACACGGAAACTTAATTATCATACTTGGAAGTCGATCCTCAATTTATCCATTCTCTGATAGTAGTCATCCAATTGTTCGAATTTTATTTCAGAATTCAAAATCTCTTGATCTTGCCTTTTTTTATACAACTCCTGCCATTTCTTGTCGGCTGCCTCGATTAAAATCTTTCTTTCTACGAGAATAACGGTTTCGATGGCTTCCAACTCCTGACGATATGCCTGGCGCATGAAGGTGATCTGCAATTGAAAAATATTTTCCTGGCGCATTCACCAGAACAACGTTTTAATCGCTTAATGTACCTGCTTTTCAACTCTCCGCGTAAGAATGTCAATATCCTCTATTTGTTTTTTCTGATCCTTGGTGAAATTATTATCCGCAGCTTTCAATTCTGCAATCAACATCGCGATGATACCGTCTTTTTGCCTGATCAACAAATCGCAGTTTTCTTTTTGTCTCATTATATCTTCATGGATGCGAAGTGGGTCGTTATATTTTTGAATTACCTTAAATCCGCAATAATTGTCTAAGATAGCTAGGAATAGTTAATATACAAAAGCGAAAAATGTACCCCCCATTTTTTCGAAATATCGTTGAACATTGTTTGCGCTTTAGCCGCCTCATCCGATAACTTTTTCAGTATTTTCTCCCGTTTCACGCTTTCGTTCTGATATCGGTTAACTTCACGGGAGTCGTTAGCTACTCTTACATTGGTAATATATTCTTCACCTATAAGAAGCGCGGAAAGATTTCACAACGATACAGGGAGGTAAACAAAAAAATAAAGTTCACTGGCAGCTACATTAAGAGCGACAATAACATTTAAAATTAACTAAAATAGTTTTGAACAACAACAAAAATGGAGTTGATTATCAGAGAGTAAATTAGAAAAGTGTAGATAAAAAATTAACAGAAAGTAACAAAGTAAATATATAACAAAGTGATGTATATATTTTACTACACAGAATATCCGGGAATTAATGACGTCAGTTGAATAGACACCATTAAGTAACAACTAAGCATTGCTATTCCCTGCTCAAAGATGTATTGCATGGTAAGTAAATGCGGAGTTCTTGACACTTAAAATTGAATTAACGTTATACCTTCAAGCATAAATTTCTCCAAAATTTCAGTGGTTTTTTGAAGTTGTGAGTAAATGGGATCGCCTTCATCGGTTGCATTTTTTTCTATTACGCTTTGTTTGCTAAAACATTACGTTTATAAATTGTCTTGGATAAATATGTTTTGAGCTATTGGAACCTCTTCTGCAAAACCTCCAACCTTCTTTCGATTCGAATCCTTCTAGCCAATTTTCTTTCGTTTGGGTCTGCTGAAGTGACTTGAGGTTCCAATTCGTCAAATTGACAAACTGTCGATGATTTGCCTAAAGCTTCTTTTTCAAGAAACTCCATATTTTAAATATACTAAGATGAATACATAAATTGTCTTCTATGTTATATTATTAAATCAATTTCTTTCTCTTAGCAACCGCACCTATCTATGGTGGTCTGTGCTGTGGTTCTTACTCAGGGCAAATGGTATTTTTTCCCTGTGTGTTCTGTGGTTGCGATATCAGTTTGAATTATACGTACAAAACATTATCATTTTATTAAAATTTAGACTGTAGCTGGAGAAAACAAGTTCTGGATATTTCTAGTTTGAATGAATGGATTAACGTGGAATGAACGCTAAAAGAAAATAGATATGTAAATGAATTTACTTGTACATTTTTTACGGATTCAAATGTTTGCTATATCTTTAATACCACGACGGATACTACTTACCATAGATAAATTCATCAATGCAAGAGATTCCGCGGCGTTGTCAAATTGGTATATTTTCGCGCAATATTTCCTAATGGTTATATTATTTTTTAATTAATTCAAATTACTCTGCAACGATTTGATAAGAAAAAAAATGTTTTATTGAAAGAGGCAGTTATAAATGTGTTTGTTGAAATAGTTTCTTCTGTTTATATAGAAAAAAGCAAAGAAAGATTTTTGTCACCAAGTCGTTAAAGCGGCAACGTTTAGTTACAATCCCTTTACGGTTCAACAATGGCTGTAAGTAGAGGAAATTTTCTCTATAAAATGATTATCCACGTACATCCAAGTAAAACTTGTCTTTTTAAGCGTACGTTATTTTTGTAGGGTGTATAAATATCACTGTCGATAAAACTTTATTAATATTTTTGCTTTTAAAAAACGATTTCTTCCCAGTTATCGGCTTTATTCAATATTTTGATTAATCTTTTGTTTATATAATATGGAAATAGCTAATTTAGAACAAGTAGGATATTTGAAGATGTAGTTCGCTTGCGTCTTGTTTTAAAAGAATATTTGTTTTCTCAAAACATCAGAAAATGTGTTTTAACCTCAATAACCTCAAATGTCCCTTTTATTTTAGCCCGTAGCGAAGAAAGAAAAGAAAGAAGTCAAGGATAAATCCAAAAATCCTATGAAAGAGCTGCACATCCGCAAGCTATGTTTGAACATTTGCGTGGGTGAAAGTGGTGATAGACTTACCCGGGCAGCAAAGGTTTGAATTTGAGTTTAATATAGACTGTGCTTCACACGCTTATATTTAGGTGTTGGAGCAATTAACTGGACAACAACCAGTGTTTTCAAAGGCCAGATATACTGTAAGATCCTTCGGCATTCGTCGTAATGAAAAAATCGCTGTTCACTGTACAGTCAGGGGAGCTAAAGCAGAAGAAATTCTAGAAAGAGGTCTTAAAGTAAGAGAATATGAGTTGAGGAGGGACAACTTTTCAGGTAAGTTTCATTGATTTTGCTGCCTCCTAGTTTGTCTGTGAATAACTTTTAGCATCGGGAAACTTTGGGTTTGGCATCCAAGAGCACATCGATTTGGGTATCAAATATGATCCCAGTATTGGTATTTATGGTTTGGACTTTTATGTTGTGTTGGGTAGGCCTGGTTTCAATGTAGCCCACAGACGTAGGAAACAAGGCAAAGTTGGTTTTCCTCATCGACTGACAAAAGAGGATGCTATGAAGTGGTTCCAACAGAAATATGATGGAATTATCCTAGCCAGCAAAAAGTAATAACATAAGTTTTATGTTTTGACATTTAATAAATTTCCTAATTTAAAAGGTGAGTTTTTGTTATTGCCTTCATCTTTGTGTGGAATAGGAAACGAAATTAGAAGAAATGTATTTGATATCAAATTTATTCAAAACAAAAATTTCATAAACAATTACCAGTTTTTTTTAGTTTAATTTTTCTTTGTAGTAGTTTGTGGCCTCCTAATATAATTTATTTTCTCTCCAATAATGTAAAGCAATGACATTGTCAGGACGTTTGTAAAAAAAAATGCAATCCTAAGAGGCCAATTTAAAACTTGCAAAATGGGATATACCCAATATCCAGTATAATATTGCAAAATACAGCTCCACAATATGTATGTCAGAGTGAAAATTTGACATATACGAATTCCTTTACTTCTCGGTGGATATTCTTGATAACTTGTTAGCAGTTCTGTCATTGAAAAAATTACTACATTTGTGTGCACCATGTGATTTAGCCAGACTGGGAAGTATGGATCTATAGCTGCTGGAAATACTAGTTCTCTATTAATGATATACAAGCCCCAAAAGGTAACTCCCACAAAGAGTGATACAGGCACAACCAAAGAAGATAGTACCTAAAAATCATCAGTAAAAATTTTGATTATGATGAGTAAATTTATGATTACCAATTCTCTAAGTTGTTTCGCCCTTGAACATTTTCCAGATGTACGAGGATCTGAACTCACATCACAGATCATGCACAGTATAAAGTATAGAGTCTGGAGTATCTGAAAAAAAGATATACTACACCATTTTTAAATTATAAAAAATTGAACTTTAAATTATTCAGTTTTTATATGTGTTGGACATATTTTTTCATTTTGGTTTGTAAAGTTGTATTGGCGTTTCCATAATACATAGTATTTTTATCACAGGTCATAATTTTTTAATTAATCTAAATCATTAATCACATTTAAATTGGTGAAAGTATACAAGTAAGTCTATGCAATAATACTTTACCTCACTGTTTAAGAAATATTTTACGGCATTGAAAGGCATTTTAATGAAGAACATTTTTGTTTTTGATTTGAAAGTGTTTAATGCTGTTTGTTTAATCTTATTTGATAACTGATCGAAGAATTTTGGAGAAAATAATTCTGCAATTTGAGAAAAACTAAACTCCCAGTTTTTGGAAATGTTTTTTGCTTCGGATTTATATTTTTAACCAACCTCTTATTTTGATTAAAGATTTTATTTGTATTAGAAAAATGCTGCTAAATTATTGTTATGTTGGTGTTTTTTTAATTTTTTTTAATAAGAAATAGTGTCTCGATATGAACTTCAAATGAATCTTTGGGATCAAAGTAAACTCCCCAAGAACCTTAGATGAGAGAGATGATTTTAAAGTAATAATAAATTTGTAATTCATTTGCAACATACCATATAACCTATAAGCCCTAGCTCATTGCTCTGTCCAAAACTTCAATGTATACAAAATATCCACTTCTATGATATCATTGACAAAGAGATTTTATTTAATTTTATTTGCCTTTTCAATATATTAGTGAAGATTAAGAACAGCAATTTGAAAGCCCCTGCGGTAGTCCATGATTGATAGCTCCACTATCAGACGGTGCATCCTCCTAAACAGTCTGCAAGACTATGCGATAAAAAAAAAGCTTTAACTGACTTAAATTAACTATTTTTATAAAGCTGCTTAAAGCTTCAAAGATTTTTGATAAAATTGAGTTTGTTGTAATCAGTCAACATTTAAGGGTAACTGATGACACTATTTCAAAAATTGTGAATATGAAGTTTAAAAATGTTGAACAATATAACAAGCAAATTCTTTGGCTCCTCATTTTTTGACGCTTAAGAACACTAATTTTGAAAAAGAGGACAGAACAGGACGAAGGCGGAAAAATTGCGCTTTAATCACTCAAATGAGGGCGTGAAAAGCTGTATTTCTCAAGCTCGTAGCAAAAACAAAAGCCGCAGCTTCCACAACACAATTAAAGCCAATTCTAAAAAAATACAATGCATCTTTTAGCAGGTTATAAAAAAAAACTTAACATAGTTGTGTTCATTTGCAACAAACCATTCACCCAAGTCTGATAAGTCCTTGCTCATTGCTTGCTTGCTCAATATCTTAGTATCTACTGTAAATATCGTCGGCAGACATTTTTTATTTTTATTTGCGTTGTCAATATCTTAATGTTTATTGAGAACAGCAATTTGAAATCCCCCTAAACAATGTGCAAGATTTTATTTCATTAAAAAAAAAACGTTATAAGCTTTAACTGACTTAGATCTCCTATTTTTATGGAGCTGATTTTTGATTAATGTTTCAAAAATTTTGGATAAAATTGCTTGTGTTGTAATGAGTCTAGTTGACACTATTTAAAAAATGGTGAATAGGAATTTTAAAAACGTTCGATATCAAAATGTTTCCTATGACAATTAAGACCACTAATTTTGAAAAGAGACCGGCGCCAAGGCGGAAAAGTGGAACTTTCCTCGTTCAAACGAGGGCATTTAAAGCTGCTGAAACTTACCACATCCCAGTTGGTCAAATACTTAAAGTTTTCGATTTTTCCCAGAATCTGTTTAGTTTTACTGAGTTCTAACGGCAGCTCTAAGTAACAGAATATGTAAAATAAGCTGAACAAATGATGCGCTAGGGCTACCACATGGAAAATGTTTTTTAGCAAACTCATTCCTGCTCTGTTTTACGAGAACTTAATACAAACTGTAAATATTTGTAACACTAAGTAATTAGATATCCGCGTTATCTGCGACTGGAGTGATAAATTGCCAGTACGTTTTTTTAGTAAATGTGAAATAATTACAAGGTTAACTGGACAATTAGACTGCAAAAACAATAATAATCGCTAACCTTTCTTTAGCTATTTCCTATTAGTTCGGATGTAATCTGGTTAAAACGATGTGTTTCCACCTCGCAAAATCATTTGCCGAGATAAAAAAAAAGCAATAATAGTCTATTATACAACAAGTTTAATAAATGCCATTTAATAATATAGCCACGAGTTTGGTTTTCAATAAAGTGTGTGGCGGTCTATTAACTTGAAGCATACCATACCGTTTCAACGGATCTTTGCAAAACCGTACGAATATTTACTAAGTGACCTGAGCATTAGAACTGACAAATGTCAAAATACCATTAGTGGTTTCGGCCCTTAAATCACGCGTTGAGCGCTATCCAAAGGTACGTTTCCATAGATATTTAAAACACTGATGACATTTTGACGTTTATCAGTTCTGATGGTCTCATTCATAAAGCTGTTAGATCATATAGTTGCCCCACTACGGTCAAAATTGGCGCGCCGGAGGCGGCATTAATAATTTCTTTGAGAGAGATAGCTATTTCCGCACACTTAAGCTCGTTTTCCCACACCTTATTCATTAAAATTACTGTGCTATGACGAATTGTCACTTCGATCATCGTAAAATAATAATATTAAATGCAGTTGACATAATTATTATATTTTTGAATTATTTTGTTTTTAAAACTAATTAAAATTTTCATTAAAATGCCACTTTCATTCATTCAAGTACCCACCTATATCTACATTATTTCACTTCCCAATAAACAAAAAATATTTTTTTCTACTCCTGTCTGTAAAATACCTAATTACGCACCGATATAGCGTGCGGGAAGCGTCGCTTTACCACGTCAGTTTCATTTCCCAAGAATTCGAGCCACTTCGAACATTTCCGGGATTTTACCGCACGGATTTGGGAGCAATCGGATGATTTCAGCGATATTTCCCACGCTTCGAATTTTGACGTTTGTCAATTCTGACGGTCATGTCAGTGAATGTATTCGTGTTTTGCGAAAATGTACGCAAAAACTAACGGTCGTAGAAAAAGTATAGTATGCAACACGTTCGGTAAACTTTTAACTCACTTGTTTATTAAACACTCGTTCCGCTCGTGTCAAATAAACTCGTGAGTCAAATGCCCTTTACCCCACTTGTTGCATAATATACTACTAAATATACAAACTTTTTCCAAGAAAATATTTTCGATTTTTTTTAATTAACCCCCTTTCAGGAATCGGTTTTCTTTCATTTTAATAAGGCTTGTATGAGGTTTTGTAAGGAAAATCCATATTCCCTACTAAACTAAGCAAAACTAAGAAAGCTGAGAGAAATATATGCTAATTTTTGTATTCTATAAAGAACTACTCATGCGTTTAGTGCTAACGTAGGTTTGCAATACAGTTTTTTTGAAATATATTTTCATTTTGCCTGCCAGATGTTTAGAGTGCTCATATTTAGAAACCCATAGTTTGCAAAAAGTGGAACCGAATAGTTTTCTTTATACACGTATTTATAATAAATATTTACGTTGGCCGCTATAACCAGTTTGTTGTAGTTTTTTCCGTAAAAAAATGCAGCAGAATTAAATTAAAAATACAAACCTGTTGAGGTTGGGTTGATGACGTCAAAGTCGCGTTAACATGAACAAATTTCGGGTGCTACTATCTAGATAGGTTGCTATTCAATTTTGTTTGAAATAGAACTCGATAAAATCGCCATTCAAATCCATTGGAGTCACATAGTAAATAATATGGCCATGAAATAAATACACATAGAAACACTGCATTGTGTCGACCGGGCTTTAGATCAGTAGGTCAGTCCTTGTATATCTCCCGGGATTCTAGTGACTGGCCCCTATAACATATTCCAACGAATAACATATTCCACACGTAACCAAACCAATATTCCAAACGTAACCAAAAAGATGTGAATTGTGATTGGTAAAGAAAATGTTTTCATTTTATTTTTTAAATTTTGTGCCTTGATGGGTACGGTTGCATAATTCGCGATCAAGGCAAAGTCCATTAATTAAGTTTCGGTTTATTAAACATAGCGGATTATATTGTAGTTGCCAATCGGCATAACCATGTCTGCTCAAAAAATAGTTCATTTAATTATAGCCCTACATTTTTGGTATAGCTGTTATTACGATTGGTATTATGTTAAAATACCGACGGAGATTCATAACATGGGTGACTCTTTCCTAAAAAGTGGTAAACTAAAGTTTTTAACTTACTGGGATGCTGTAAGTATATCCTTTTTCATGTTGCAAAAAATGTTTGAAGGTGTATTTTTTAGTTATTACAGTCAGTTTTCTTCACGCTCTGTTTCTTAGATGATATTGTATCAGGAACCAGTGAAAGTCTGCCGAAGAAAACCCCATTGGTGCGAAAAATTAAAGATATTGTATGTGAGTTGCTTATGTTATAATAATAATACAAATGTTTTTGTTTCAGATGCTACCATCTTTAGCATTTCCATTGTCAATGTTTGTCGGCCTGACCTTTTGGGGACTGTACGCTCTGGATAGGGAGCTTATTTTTCCTAAAGTGTTGGACGACTACTTTCCAAACTGGCTTAATCATGTTATGCATACCAACATTATGATATTTACTTTGTTGGAGCTGGTGACCTCTTACCGAACATATCCTTCAAGAAAAGTTGGTCTTACATTATTACTTTCATTTATGGCTAGTTATCTTGTGTGGATCCATGTTCTCAATGCATACACAAACCATTGGGTCTATCCAATATTGGATGTATTGAATTTTCCCGCCAGGATAGTATTTTTCATAAGCAACATAGTCATAGTGGTTGTTTTATATGTTATGGGTGAAAAAATAAATAGTTTGAGATGGGGAAGTCGAAAGTTGAAGATTAAAAACAAGTAATACATATTGTGTCCATGTTTTTTTACAAGACGTTAGATTAGATTGATGCTTTATGTAGTAATATAGGAAAATCGGTTTATTTTTGCAATAAGAGTTAAAAAAAGATTTCCTGTTCATACTGGCATTTTTATTTCTACAATTCCATTGATGAACTAGTTATCTACCTTTTATTTTAATTTATTTAAAAAATTTGAACTAAAAAGGTAGGTGAATTTAATAAAAGGAATATTTGGCATTTATCGCCGAAAATAAGTGATATGTAAGGGTCTGCCCCTGCAAATACGTTTTTAGGCAACCAGATAATCAGACGGTGTTCTATTTTGACGCCTACCGCGAGGTGGCACTTGAGGCAGTTTTAACGATTTGCGACAATGCTTTTCTCTGCTTCTGACATGATCTGTGTGATTCAATTTACAATGCGCTCAGTTACTTGAATTGTGTGACGCTTTCGGTTCTTGTTTTAAAACAGAAGTTTATATGTATCATTTTTGTATTTGATATAATTTCTCCTTATCAGACGTCATAAAATAGTTAAGGAATTAGTATATTATACAGCAAGTACGGTAAACGGCATTTGACTTACGCTCGTAAGTCACGAGCGGAGCGAGTTTTTAATAAACGAGTTAAAGTTTTTACCAGTTTACCGAACGTGTTGCATACTATACTTTTTCTACGGCCGTTAGTTTTTGGGTACATTTTCGCAAAACAACACTAATACATTCACTGACATTACCCTTAAAATTCAAAGCGTGAGAAAGATCTCAGAAAACATCCGATTGCTCCCAAATCCGTGCGGTAAAATCTCGGAAATGTCCGAAGTGGCTCAGAATCGTGGGAAATGAAAGTGACGCTTCTCGTACGCTAGTTCGGTGGGTAAATAGGTATTTTACAGACAGTCGTAGAAAAAGAATAGTATGCAACACGTTCGGTAAACTTTTTAACTCACTCGTTTATTCAAAAATCGTGAGTCAAATGCCGTTTACTGCACTTGTTGCATAATATACTATTATGTATGTTTTAAATACTTCTTGAACGTTGCAAATTGATATTAAATTTAACAATTTTGTATGTACCTTGTATGGATGAATATTAAGTCGTAATATATATGTCGATCAGTTACCAAAATAAAAAAAATTCTTGCCCGCTGTCCGGTGTAACTTGCTTACTTAAAACACTAATAATAAGAAGAAATGTATCTATGGAATCTTCTGATCTTTTGAATGGAATTTTGTTTTGACATGTGACGTGTCAAGGATGTCAATTTGTTTAGGAATCATATTTTAATCAATAGAAAGGCGAAATTATCGAGTATGGAGTTTTTTAAGAGCGGTTTAAAATCCGTGCTAGGGGCCCCACCTCCTGGCTCTCAGCCGACCGGAGCAGAGACTGTAAACACCATGAAATTTATAAAAACATGTTTTGTAATCGCCTAACCTTAAATTTCAGGTGGAAAGATTGGTTTCTCGAGTAAGTACTAGTACCCTTTTGGAAGATAGGCGGGATGCCTGCAGAGCTCTTAAAGCTTTATCGAAGAAGTATCGCTTGGAAGTTGGGGCACAGAGTATGGACGTTCTGCGGCAAGTTTTGGAGCTTGATCGCAGCGACCCAGAAATTATTGGCTATTGCTTAGACACTTTGTGTAACATTACGTCTGTTGACGTGTTTGAAGAGGAACAAGATTCAAGTATGGCCATGCCGAATATCAATGTGGGGGAACAGTTTGCTGAAATGTTCTTGAAGAATGCCGATAATGTAGGCATTGTTCTTGGTTTTTTAGAAGAATATGACTTTAGGTGACTACTTCTTAGAGAGATTAATATTTTAATAAGAATTAAAAATTGTAGGGTAAGATGGCCAGCAGTCAGATTGTTAACATCTTTGACAACATGCAAGCCAAAAGAAATTCAAGATATAATCCTAGTAAGCCCAATGGGGGTGTCAAAGTTAATGGATCTGTTAGCTGAAAATCGTGAAGTAATTCGGAACGATGCCCTTCTACTTCTTATAAACCTAACAAAATCCAATGCAAATATTCAAAAAATTGTTGCCTTTGAAAATGCCTTTGATAGGTTATTCACCATTATAAATGATGAAGGCCATTCTGATGGTGGTATAGTGGTGGAAGATTGTTTGCTTTTAATGTTAAATTTATTAAAAAATAACACCAGCAATATAAACTTTTTCAAAGAAGGATCTTACATCCAAAGATTGTGTCCAATGTTTGTACTGCCCGAGAATTTGGAAGAAGTGGGTTGGAGTCCACAGAAAATATCCAACTTCCATTGCGTGTTGCAGGTGGTACGAACTCTAGTTTCACCTAATAATCCCGCTCAAATTATAACAGCTTGCCAGAAAAATTTGAGGAATGCCAACTTGCTGGAATCAATTTGCAGCATATTGATGGCTAGTGGTAAGTAGACAAATGTTGCAACTTATTCTTGTTATATTTTTTTGACACCATTTGGTGATGAATTTAATTTCATTTTATTGGGTGCAGTGGCATATGACCTGCATGTTGAGGTAGATTTTTTGGTATCCTACTGATTTCGGTCATCATAGAAATCAATTATAAACTATCTTTCTGCCCAGCAAAAATTTAATTATAAATTGATTTGGTAGAAAGTAGTTATTTAAAAACAAAAAATAATTATCTCAGAGACATTTTTTCGCAAACTTTTGTATGGAAAGTAAATATACAGGGTGGGTCAAAAACGAGAACTCAAGAAGTTTCTAGTTATTTTATTGGGTGTTGAAAATCTCCACTATTAACTTACAAAATATTACTAAGCATATTTTTATTAATTTGCCTTAAATTTTGTTGGTTTTGCCTTATAACTTTTGATCTTAAATATCACCAGGGAAAAAATCCAACGAAGTGATATCTGGAGGTCTGGCAGGCCATTCTATTCACTCACTTTCCAGGAAAATGTGGAGCATTGTCCTGTTACCCCTGCCCAAACATTTTCATCGGTCAGGGATTATTTGTAGTTCATTACCTACAAATTTATTTATTCATTGTACTATTTAAATAAAACCTGGCTTCATGCAATCTTGTAGGGTCAATACTTCTTTTAATATACGCAAAGCTCTTCTTTGGCTAACATCATTATTGGAAGTACTCCAGTGGGGATTATCCTCAGATCTCATATATATGCCCTGTTTCTATAATTTTTCTCTCAATTTGACTTACTCATAAAAAGTAAGAGGTGCGCAGAATTCTAAAATGGATTTAAAAAGTGGTGTTCCAATTAAATAAAAGTAACTGGGTATGAACATTTATTCACCCACTGTTTTACCTGATTTTTAAATGAATTTGTTCCATATTCCAGCTGTTCACTGTTCATAGTGTTTATCTGTACAGGCGAATAACTCTTGTAAAAGGTAAAAAAATTAGAATTAAATTTCTGTTTTTTATGGTCCATCCTCAGAGAACTGATTTTTTTGCTTCTAAAAATGCTGAATTAAGTTTGACTCATTGGTTTAGTACGGAAATAAAATACCGCTAGTCATATATAGAAAGGTATAATCCTAATACAAAAATTATTAGATGTGTTGGCAAAGTAAATCAATCACATTGTAAAACCAGATAATACAATTAAAGGCAGTTCGAAAGTAAAATAATGATTCTAGTATAAGTGAGTTACTTATAAAAAATAACATATTTAGGGTAGCATTCAGCGTCTTCGTATTTAACAATTACGTCTCCATCAATCTTAATAGAAGTGTCGCATCCTTCGGATGGCACGATCATCCCTTGATGTCCCAAGCATTCTTTGGATACTGCAACCCGTGCCAGGAACATAATTCTCGGACAGTCCTTAGAGTTGCGTGGGTAATGTGATGCATACGTCGATCGTTTGGCAAAGGATATACCCTGCCCGAATTTGTGGCCTACCGATCGACCATTCAAACGCCAATTGAAATTGTTTTCGCAAATTGACAACAAGTTTTTGCATGCTGTTCCGTGAAATAGATCCTTGATCGAAACACGACCATAGTCTTCGACTTTCTGCGCCGTTTTCAATTTGTAATGTGCCAGCAGAAAGGCATTGAAAATTTTGTCGATTTTTATAATCACTCTCGGCACCCTCATTGACGATAAAAACTTGTCCCTGCAGGATGCGTATTCGTCCGATGTCTGCTCCAACTGGCAATGCCCAAAAACCATGCTATCTAATAAGAAGCGCTTTTTTCCAAACGACATCAAGAGCTCATCTACAAAGGTGGTCACCTTTAGCGGTTCTGGTCTTAGTCTGGTCTGTTCAGAATTTAAATGAAATTCAGCAAATAAATGTCGTAGATCTTCAACCGACATGGCGACTTTAAACCAAATATTGCACCGATCCAATATCAGAATAGTACGCCGCCGAAACTGCAAGCCTTGTATTTATTTCCTTTGGATTTAGAGTCGCGGTTGCCAGTTTTTGCAATTTTTACGCATTACTTAGACCCGATATTTTTAGATGGAAGGCAAATCACTTTTGATTTGGCAACACGAAAATTATTCATTAGTAAAAGTACAAGGCCGCGGGTTTATGAGGGATTTTAGAAAAAAAGATGTTTTCAGTGAAATCAGAGTGTACAGAATTAAAAAATACGTTGCCCCACTCTCTCTCGGATCTTTAAGGTGTTGAAATTTAAGAGGACCGAGGCCGCTTCCCCACCACGTGCAGTATTTCGTTTTTTCATAGGATTACGAGGATCTCTATATAAGCGCGGGGGTTTCCAAAAGTATGATATATTTATAAATAAATAATATGACACACTTAAGAAAGTTGGACAAAAATGTTGAATATTTAAGTTTATTTTCATATAACTTAATATATTCATGCTCCTTTAAGCTGAGGGAAAAATTGAACCATTAAAAAAGAACAATTCTTATCAGTAAATTCCATTAAATTCGTATTTTTTCCATGTTGTGCCTATAATTCCAAGTACATTTTTACAAGCGTGCTACTTGCAAACAAAGATGAGATTGAATATACTAAGAAATATAGGGGTAAGCAATGAAATCAATCGAAAAATTGGGCTACTGGACGTTACGTGGAAAGAAACAGAAAAAAGCTTTTGAAATAGTATTGCCTCGTCTAATGCACAACGAAAAAAAGATTCTCTGGTTTAATTTACTGCCACAACTTTCCACTATATAATACGTTTCTCTCTTATTTCGTCGAACTGTGGGAGGGGGACAACTTCCAACAGTCGATCGGCGGCAACTTATATTTTAATTCTGTAAACTTTGGTAAAATGTTCGTTACTTTTTATGTATTATTTCAATTTTTAATCAATTATATACAGGGTGGTCAAATAAAGTTACATTATTTTAAAATGAAACAGCCTATATTTTATTAAGTTTTTAAATACTTTAAAAGAAGAATGCAACGATTTGTATAAATATCTGTATATCCATCTATAATGCACCGTTATTAGTCAATATCTTCGGGATTCAGGTTATGTTGGAAAGATTTATGTTATGTTGACTATTAACTTTGAAAACATTTTTTTGCGTAACAGATTTTAGAAAATAATACTTTTTCTCAGACAATACGCCGTGTCGCGATGTTACTTCTCTCAATGTTTGTAAATCAAACACTCTGTATATGTTTTGAATTTTTGTACTTTCGAATAGCCTTTTCAAAGATGAATTCAACATTCCATTGGTCTGCCATGTACCGTTTCGAGTTTATTGACGAATTTTATCAATTCCGACGCAATATTAAAAAAGTTAATTAAATTTCTAGCGTTATTGAATAACATTTCAAATATCGTTAAATATTATAAAAATTTATTCGAAAATAAATAAATTATTTCCTTTAATAATTTTCATTTAATCATGAATCGATATATACAACGTAATTGAAAAAATGTGTACCACTAAAACTCTGTAAATAAACTAGGCGAATATTTTATGAAGAAAATTTGACGCCAGTGCGATTTTCGAATTTATTAACAAATAATGTTGAGCCTCTTATTCGGAATACTATCGAACTGCTGATATCAGTGCTTTTTGAAACGGAAAGTTTAGACAATGGATCGGGCAAAATGGCACCGTCTTGTAGTCACCAAGGAGGTTCGGATTAAACCCACTGGACTTATTTTTGTGGTTCACTTTAAAAGACATACTGTCCAAAAAAGGCCCATAGAAGTTTTTGTATTACAGCCACAAATTCCGGATGCAATTAACCAATTAAATGCGATTAATTATATATTAAATGCCATTAATCATTTGGATGTAACACTTGTATTATTGAAAATAGTGGACATTTGAACAATTTAATATAACACTGTTATTTTTATTTTTTAAACATTTTTTGAAATGTTTTATTTGAGCGTAATTTCCACGCCTTCACTTATAAAATTTTTTCGTCTCCTTTTAGCAAAAACGGTTTCATGATTTCTATAGATTTGATAAAGACGTACAAAAAATTCTTCAATTAATTAGCTGTAAAAAAATGTTTTAATAAGTTAATTGTTGGTATTGTTATATCAATTATTTTAATTAATTTTACTGTATCAGTTATTTAAAATGATTTTTACACAGGAAGAAAAGTTAGAAATGTTAAAATGCTATTTGCCATGCAGTAAATTGTCTCTAAGGGCAAGAGAGCGATACATAATCCTATATCCACATTGCGTTCTATCACATCCATCATCAAAATCTAAAATTCTTTTACTGGACCACAGGTGTATAAATTTTAATTTAATTTTGGAGTACGTCACCAGTATGACATTAACGAATTCAATATAACATTTGGTGCAACAAATTCAAACAAAATGCTTAACTTTGTAAATGTTTATCAATTGTATTGTATTAATTTATTAACCTTATTATTCTAGACAGACGGATTGTTTTTCTATCGCGTTCCTGCGGACCACTGTGGCACTTTCGCAAAATGATTGTCATTTTATTGATGCACCCTGTATAAAGTGTCTTTCACCGTCGCCCGACTTCAAAGTTATGGCAAATGTTGCTAAATTTAAAAAAATAACCAATAATAGCAATTTTCAATGATATTTTTCACCCTGTATGACGGACGAAAACTGGAAATACGAAAATTTTAGCCGTGGATACAGTTTTCGGTATAGGTTTAACAAAATTATTCCATCTTTCACAGTTTCTCATTTACGGCAAATATTTTACAAACAAGAACGGAATTTTTTAGGTTATTTTAGATTTATATATAATCAAAAAAAAAGCTCGAAGTGGTGGTTATAGCTTTGGATCTTGCATGTATCATGGCCCATGAATTTTCTCAACAGAGTAAATAGTAATAGTAAATGACGTCATTATTACATGATTTTTTTCACACACAATACTGAAACACCTTGTATATACTCCGTTTCCTGGATCAAGAATTTTGCCGATCGGGTAAATAAATAGCTTTCGAGAAAATATTTGATAGTGAAATATTTGAAGCATAGTCTTCTAATTATGGTCAATTATAATTATAAGGGAAGTTATCGTCGAAAAACTCCAAAAACACAGAACGGAGAACGGATAGAGAAAAAAATCTGATCATTTCTGTACAAGCGCCGGCCCCTTAGGGCTTACCGTTGCCGAGATATAAAATTATATAATTAGAATTATATTATATTATATTATAGAATTGTATAATAATGAAAATTTAAAAACTACAAATTGGTGCTTAAAGTTACGTATACTTGACGTTAAAAAATACGTCTCCATATGACCTCGTCAAAACTAAATTTCGATATCTTTATAACTTTTTTTACTTTTCCTATTAAAGTGTGGTTTAGAAATACAAATTGTAATTCGAGAATTACTTTAATTTTTTTATCTTTTTTAAAATTTTTAAACAAACCACACCTTTTAAAAAACAGGAAATTGAAAAATCAAGCGGACGGCTAAATGAAGTTTTAGATCATCTTCCGCCCTTTTTTCATTTTTCCCTGTTTATCACAAAGTTTTGACTTTTAACGGAATGAAATTGGTGGGGTATGTTGACAGATGACATACTCGTAGGCCCATAACAGGCCGGAAAAGTTTACAGATCTAAACAAAAATGTTGAGATCGCCCGCTAGATGGGTAATGCAAAGAGCCCGAGTCGTCATTCAATAAGTTAAGCCAATTTTACTTACGCTGTTTGTATCGTTCTCGTTCTCCGTGTGTTATGGTTATTAATCTCAATTTACGAGAACGAAATAATAACCAAGCGATAAAAGCAAAATAAGCGCTTTTTCAGGCTTCTCTATAGTCACGTCTGTGTGTCCCAGATAAGGATGCTAATCATGGGAATTTCGGTAAAAAGTTGTATCGTTTGAAGTTTATTTACATGCAGTTTAGAAATTTGACAATTTTTCAAGGCTTGCTCAGATCTTTGAGAAAAATGCTGATTTTATTTGAAGAGCTATAAAAAAACCTAATTACACTTTCTCTTTGGCACGTTTATGGTACGGTATTTTTAGAATTTATGATAAACTTAATTTTTTAGCTCGAGAAAAAGTACACCATTTTTTATTACAATTTCGACTATGTATCACTGAGTTTAAAATATTTCGTAAGTGCTACAAAAAAAAACGTTAAATTCATATTCTTATGAAATAAAAGAAACCCAAAATTTCATGATTTCTTAAAAAAATCAATGATTTTTGATTTTTTTAAATAAAAATCAAAGTTTGCCCAACACTGGTCATTAATAATGGCATCTTCAACTTCAACAAAATCCGCATTTTTATTTACCATTTTTTAAAATATTTTATTATTATTTTTATATTTATTCTTTTTAATATCCATTTTTATTATCCATATATTATTAGCATTATTTATCCGCAGTTTATTATGTGGTGTGGAATTTTTGGAACCAAGACACTTTACGATTTACTTTACTTTACTTACTTACTTACTTTACGATTCGTACGATACCTTCATTTCTTGCAAAATGATTTAGAAGACGGTTTAGATCATTTTCCTTCGGCACATGTCTTTCGCAGGTGGTTTCAACCAGTCGGTGTTCCTGTACGGAATTCTAGGCAAGTTCGATAGTGTTTTTCGCAGCTATTTTCTGGAAAGTGGATGGGAGCCTCTAGTGAAGTGCTTTAATCACTATGATCCCCGGACTTCACTTTTCTGGACTACTTCCACTTCATACGGAGTTTTGTTAAAAATCTGGTCTACCAATGTTCTTTTAAATCCGAGCAGCAGTTAGATGAAATCTTACGTGACATTTTAAGTTCTACCACCGTTAGAAGATGTTAATTATGTTTAGAAAATAATCGAAACCCGTTTGAACACCTGTTTTGGCTCTCATTCTACTCTACACCTGCTTATATATTGTTTGAGGGGGCGGAGCCAAAGGGGCATAGCATTGTCTTGCATGACTGATTCCCATATTGGTGAAAGGTAAAGATCTAAGTGGAGGTTAAGATTATTCGGTTGCTTTTAGATTTCTGTCGATTCTCGGATTTTTGTTTGGTAGGAAAATTGATTACATGCCAAAAGTTTAGTTTTGTCTGCTACAACCCGGAAGGAAAACACCTATCATCTGCTAATCTCTATATTTTCCACATTATAGATATTAAGCGAGAGGAAGAAAAATGTCAATTGAGCTCAAAGAGCATGAAAGAGCCTTAAGCTTTGAACATATGGAGAATGATAATTTTGTCATTTTTAGAAAGCCCAGTTTCACTATTCTGTTTTTCAACAACCAATTCAGAAACACTCAGTGACGGAAGGAAAAACTAACCAAAACTATAATTCTAATTTTAAAAACTAAGCCATAGATAGGTCAACTACTTGCTCGCAGTGGCGGGGCAAGACAGATTTCGCGAGGCCTTGTTTTATGGCGACCTGAAGATGGATTTTATAAAATAATAAAAAGAAACAAAAAAATTAACGCTGCCTAATTTTTATTCATAATGATACAAATAAGATTAATATTAATGAAAAATTACAAATCGTGAATATAAAGGTGGAAATAACAATACCACTAACTTAAATATTGGCTTTCAAAGGATGTTTCTAGTCCAAAAAACAAACAATTCAATTCCACTTTTTAAAAATTATGGCTCCATAGTACTGACGATGATTCTGCCAGTGATATTTGTGCAATCAGGATAGCAGTCAGTACATCATTTAACATTATAAATATTTTCTTCATGCTGTATAAGGTACCACCATAGGGGTCAATGATCTATGGTAAAATACCATGTTAAAATATTTTAAAATATTGACAGTTTCTGATTTCTTGATCCAGTGATTATTTTTAAAGCGATTGCGTAATTGTGCCAAAAATAATGTTCGTTTCTTAAAACCGTGTTGTTGCTTAATTTTCTGTCTGATGGCAGAATTTGTTTGTTTTGCTGATCCAGACTCCCATTTTCTTCCAATATCTCTATCTCGGCCGAACATGTCGATAACGTCGTATCTATAACCTGTAAAGAAAAGCAATAGCTAATTTTTTTTTGCAGTTTTATCTATAAAATATTGTAATTTACAATTTGTAAAACCTAAATTTGAATTAGTTTTGAAACAAAAATCTTTAAGATAACTCTTACTACCTACTAGTTTTAAAAACTTAAAAAGTCGATACGTTTTTTATTTTACCCTTACCCTTTTGGTTTCCTTCAAAAGATATTATAGAGCATATAATTTTATATACAAGTAATTACTGCGTTATTTACTTATTACCAATTAAATTTTTCTTACCTTATGTAAAATAGACGAGAATAGGTACCTTTATGTTGCACATCACAAAGAAAACAAAAACCATTTGATAAGTCACTGTTTCTAAATTTTGGGTCAGTTTACAGGAGCAATGAATATACTTACACACTATCTATTTATTCACTAAATATTATTAAAATATTGAACACACTATTCTTATCAAAATACGTACGTACATTAATAAAAATATACAGAATTGTATAACACAATTACGTTTCTATTGTTATGCGCCTAGCGACTGCGTTGTGTGCTTTGATTTGATTGGTTCGCTTCCTAGTAAAGAAAGTAAACAAATAAAACAAGGGATTACTCGCAATGGTCGGCGGCAATGTTGCCAGACTAAGAATTTATACATATTTCACAACAAAATTAATTTATATATTTTTCTATTTTATTCTCACTTTAAAGCAATGCTTAAAAAATTTTGAGGCGCGAGGCCCCTTGTACCGCGAGGACGTAGGCGGCGGCCCACGTCGCCTACACCTTACGCTGCCCCTGCTTGCCCGTCTATCTGCCATTCTGGGGACCCTTGACAATTATCATAGGTAAAATATTACGCCTATGGAATACGACTCAGAGCAATAAGTTTTATAGTCAACATTTTAATATTCATCAATCGCTGGAAAAGTAATTTACCAAATGCTGTTTGTTTAGGCGTTCCTGCTGACATCCTTACAGAAACCATAAACACAGTAGGGGAAGTGATTCGCGGCAATCTCACCAATCAGGAGTACTTTGCTAATGTGCTCGCGCCGTCCAATCCACCCCGGCCTGCGATCGTGGTCCTGATTATGTCGATGGTGAACGAGAAGCAGCCATTTGCCCTGAGGTGTGCCGTGCTCTACAGTTTCGAATGTTACTTGTACAAAAACGAAATCGGACAGGAACTGGTTGTGCAGACGCTGCTGCCCAGTTCGACGGGAACCAATGCCGTTACTACCGGTAATCCGATAGCGAATCGGCGAGTCTGTTCTTTAGTAAATGGTTCTTTTTAGGACAGCTGCTCTGCAGCGGTCTATTCAGTAACGACGCTCTAAGCAATTGGTTTTCCGCGGTCGCTCTTTCGCATTGTCTCATTGAAAATCCCGCCCAGAAGGAACAGTTGCTAAGAGTGTTATTGGCTACGAATTTGGGCGCTCAGCCGGTAAGCCTGCTAAACCAATGCGCCGTGTTTTTACAGCACACGAGTAAATTGCAGTCCAAATTAGGTAGGTGCGATTGGATACCTGTTATTTTAGGTCGTGAATGTCATTTTTGGCTTGAAGCTTAGTAAACGCCAGATCTCCAAGTTTGATTAGCGATGGTGTATCCATTTTTCTCTGTTATTGTGGGCCTAGTTTTTTGAATTACAAGGAAATTGGCGATAGAAACTAGAATAAAACGTATAGATACAATAAATAAACACACTCAGATGTGTGAATATGGTGATATTCACCATCTGATTTTTTTGGGCTAAGAATAAGCTGTCCAATCTACCGAATGACATTGACTGGTCTTTTGTGAGATCTAACTCTAGCGCTAATAAGAAACATGAGCGTTTTATGCAAATACTCGGTAATAATTCTATTTCGTGTTTTCCAATTAAAAAATATTTTGATAGAAATATCAAGGATGAGGTAACATTCGAGGCTACTAATCGATCTCCAAATTACCGCAAAAAATGAGAAACAAATATAGACAAAGCTATTTTATTTATTTTTTATTTTATTTTATAAACCCAAAGGCTAACCAACAGGCACTCAATTACACATGGTCGGGAATGCAAAAGAAAATGAACTAGATGTTTGATAAGCTAATAGAACAGTAATCAAAAAAATGTTAAAAAAAAAATTGTATATGTTTCTTCTAAACAGATGTAGACTTAAGTTAAATAAGTGCGGAGAGTTTAAGAAGTATTAGATCTGATTCTTTCTATAGAAAAAGTTAGCCTAGTGCGCACTCCATAATGACTACCATTAAAAGATAAGTACAAGAAGGCGATTCAATAAGATTGTTGACAATTTTATAAAGAAAAAATTAAGTTTGAGTAAATTCTGCGTGTCTCAAGCGACCTTCATTTATAACACTGTAGGTTATTTTCATACGAATCTGTCTATTATATATAAAATTAAGGTTTCTAAAAAGCTTTTTTGAACACTCTATCCGATCGGCATACTTGCAATAGATCGGATTCCATGTGGTGATGACTGATTTGTGGTTGCGAAACCCTTTGGTGTTACATAATAGGGAACCAAGATTTCTCAAGCCCTTCTTTACAATATTTTCTACATGTGCTTGAAATGTCCAGTATGATGCTTGAATATTAAGTTTTATATTGTCCAATTTTGAGTCAATATTAATAGGTTCTTTTTTCCTTGTAAACTGTATTATTTAGCACTTATCAAGATTTTAAAAAAGTCTATGATTTTTACAGTACATAGTAAACCTATCGAAATCATTCTGTTAAGTCATCTACGAATAAGGCAGTTACTGAATGTTGAAAACAGCTTTCAATATCAAATATAAAAATATTGAAAAGTAAGGGTCTCAGGTGTGCTATAGGCAAATTCAAAATATACAAGGAGTGCGGGTAATAAGGTAAAAGCTACATGGAAAAAATTAAGTTACCAAATAACATAAGTGCTGATGACTTGAATCCTTTTTTTGCTGAAGTTGCTAGGAAAAATCTAAGAAATTTGGGTTCCATCTTTAGGGAGGTAACGTTTGTGGAGGTCAGAGATGTAAAGTCAAAGACCGTTTTCAAAACAATCCTAGTTGACTTTGTTTTTAAGATACATGGTACAATTTGGCCATTTCAGTTACTTATGTATGTTAAACACCCTGTATATATTATATTTAAGAAATGAGCTATAGTAAAGTTTTTTTTTTTAACGAAACACACTGGATATTTTTTAATAACGCATAATTACCTTTTTTTTTTAAATAAACATATATTTTAATTTTTTTAAAAATACTCTAATATGCTAATAACAATTTTAACGATTCAATTAATCGATTATTTAATTTCTCGTGTTACAAATATTATTTTTATTATAAAAAAATACAATATAAAAAATAGCAAATGTTGGTCTGTATCTAATAACTTACTTTTACGCCACTGAATTCTCTGTGTAAATTCCTAAAGAAGGATTCGTAAATTATGCTAAAAATATCTGGTAGAAATCAATTTGTGCACTTTATTAAAGTTTGCAATTGTTGTTATTTTTTTTTACAAATAATACGACTTGAATACAAAATATTCAAAATATTAAATTCGTTTTTTTTTTTTGTAGAATATAATAATAACAATAATAACATTAACGTTATTATTATTAATATTAATAATAATATGGTAACAGGAATAGAATCGAGATAGGAAACAAGTCTACTGTAAAGTTTACAAATTATGTGGGAATTACAAAAATATATTTATACAGTTATACAAGGTGTTCGAAAAAAATGCTTACTATTTTTGTACTCTGCAGCTTGTATTTTTTCTCTGCTGAGAGAAAAAGGAGGCAGAGGAGTAATGCATGCATTTTGTCGAATATTTTGATATATTTATACATTTCCTACCTGTTACAATTACATGACTAAAATTTCATTCATGTTTCTGATACAATCAAATTTTGACTTTTATTTTTGGCTGGCCAAACGATATTTCCACTGTCCCCAACTTAAAGTCCTCTTTGTTTGACTAGATTCTTCATAGCCCCGACTGTTTGTTTAAAAAGTTTCTTGTCAATCCAAAATTAAAAAGCCCAGACCAGAAATCAATTTGGTAAAAAATTTCTTTTAGAGAAGGACACAACAATGACAATAAAAATATTTAAGCAAATGTGCAGAAGATTTCTACTTGGATCTCAATTATCAACCATAGATCAGAAGCGTTTTTCACAGTTTAATTCCGTTCATCCTCAACCTTTCCTTCTGTGACATATTACGTTGTATAGTTAATACTATTCTTAAACAGTATTTGGTTGATCCAGACGTCCGAAATTTTTGTTTATTGCAATTTGAACTGTATTTCTGGTACCATAATGAATGTATTATTATTGTTATTGTTATTAAGTTTTGTTAGTTACGTTAAGTATTTTCGCCTTGTAGGTTAGACAGAACTTGCCTTGCGCAAGAATCTGATACACAGGCGTTTATATCGTAATTTCGGAACTTGAAGCATACATATGTTTTTTGTATTTTGTTTTTGTGCGATAAATATAAAACGTTATTATTATTAAGAAGACCTTGGTAACCTCATTAGAAGCCTGAGAGGCAGATGTGGAACGGTGATTAACAATCTAGGTGAAAATACAAGTTAAGGTTTTCAAACGACGGGTCTCGTTTTTAAAAACACTTTTTATTGTTTTACAAACAGAGCTACGAGCTTTAGATTAAGCGGTTACAAGGAGAATTCTTTACAAAGTACATTGTTCACATATTTATAACGTTCTTATGCGAACGTCGCGTCGCAGATACTGGGAGTACTGAAGTTAGCATTTCCTGTTAAGTCATCAGCATATTCTGTCACATAATTTACGGGCTATAATTTTTTTTATATGTTTCATATATCTCAACAAAAATTTTGTAATTTAGTATTTTTCATATGTTTGGAGTTATAGGGACTAAACTAATAGAAAAACAATGTTTTTTTGTTTCTATAACGCAACATTTTTGAATTAATTTTTGAGATATCATTTATTGTTTTAAAAATATTAACATTACATTAGAAAAATTGTAAATATGTAGTCGAAACATTGCTGCAGGGCGTGTTGACATGTCTTGAAGAAAGCCTGTTTATCGTGTAATTGCGTTTGTTGTAGGCAGTCGTTTATTGCGGTTAGTGAGCATTGTGCAGTTAAATTTCTTTTTAAAATGCCAAGATTTTATAGAAATATCCCAAATACATTTTACTATGTGTGTGGTTCTATGGTCTAGACGTAAAATTACACCCCTGTTTATCCCTACCTTTTGGAATACCTATGATACAGAGAGAACCAATAAGTCACCATGATGACTTCTATTTCTGCATGTGCAATGTTGTAAATATAACACTAAAAAGTTTGAAAAACATTGGTGATCCGAAGCTCAATTAGGCCAGTGTCACATAGCCCAGATATCCCAATATCTGAGAATCCAGCCAATTTAGAAGAAAGTACCGCCAGTTTTTCTGAACCTGAAATAGATGAACATATTCTTCGTGATGTTGGTGATATGTGGAGTGTTTCTCAGCAACCACAGTTATTTTCAACATCAGAACTTAATGACTTGGGTTTATCTAAGGATTTTTCCGAAATTTTAGCACCTAAACTTTGAAATAAAAATGATGATGATGATGTTATAAAAGGTTTTCTAGGGAACAACAAATATACAAATTACAAAGACATTGTAGAAAACATGTTAGGGAAATGGGATGTATTATGAGTGTAAAACTACATTTTTTACACTCTCATCTGGACCACTTTTCCCAAAATCTTGATGACGTAAGTGAGGAGCAAGGTGAGAGGTTCCCCCAAGATATAAAAGAAATGGAACGTAGATACACGTGGTCATTAAAAAGGGACATTCCGGCCATGAAATATACAAGAAAATCCACTCAACGAAATTTTTTCTGCCAATTGGTAGACATCGTCTAAAAATAAATAGACTAGAGGTTTAGATTTTTTAATTCGATGTTTGTTCTTGTACTAATAATGTTTAAATTAACCCAGATTTTTATTTATTAATTCATCTAATATTGATAAAAAAAACCTTAAATGATAGGCCTAAATTATACTGAATTAAATTTCAGACTGAAATCAATTTTCAAAAATTTTAAAAATCTTGGCCTGTGCTATTTGAGCACAGTGAAATGGTAATAATTTAATATATTTAATGTGTGAACCTCCTAAATGTTAATCTGACATATTGTCCCCTATTCAGTTTTGATGTGTGCGATATTTACGTGTGGAATTAAAGAGCCCTACACTCTGGGCTTAGACTAAAGTGGAAGCTTTGACACACCAAGTCTAAAGAGTTTCACGGTTTTCAGGCATACTGATGCTGATTTCGATGTGGATGTCTCATTGTCCCGCAGCCGTGAAGGTATTTTTAAACGTGCCAGGCGCCATGGCGTTTCTGACCGCTCAAACGTCGGCCAGCGAATACGACAATAACGAAGAACTCCTCCAAGGGCTGTGCGCGTTCGTAATGGGCCTGTGCGTCGCCTTCAACGACAACTCGGTACCTAATTATTCCAAAGAAAACTTGTCCCAGTTGATCGAAAAACGGGTGGGCATCGAAACCTACTGCAACAAATTGTCGGAGGTGTTTCGTCACGAGGTCTATGCGAAGGCGGCAAAACAACCGCAAATCAGGGCGCGACAGTCCGGCGAGTTGCTGCTGGAGTTCGAGTTCTGTAAGTTGTTTAAGGCAATGGAGGGGCTGATCATACAGGCGCTGGGGGTGCAAAGGGACTTGTCGAATGGTATCTCGGAGTTGAGTTTGAGCGACCATGAGAACGCTTTGTTGCTGCAGTACAAGGACTTGATCAGGGAACAGGACAAAAAGTTGCAGGAGCTGCAGAAAAAGTTTGGACATTTGCAGAAAGATAATGACCTTTTGAAGGTAAAATTAAAACGTTGTTCATGACTCAAAGTAAGTTGTTGGTGCCTTGACAGACGTAAAACTAAAAGAGATATAGTCATTCATAAATTTGCCGTTGTTGGAAGTGTAAATATGAATGGTAGCTATGGTAACTGAGCAAAGTGTTAGTGGTTAAATAATAATATGAAAAGTTAAATGAAACAAATTTTACACACTTTCAGAGATAGAGTGTTCTTTGGAAATCTACAATAGATATAGTACTTAGCATAAATACAGAAGAAAAAGTATACCCTTGTTCGATTTGTTTACATACACCTCAAATCACAGACTGAAGTAAACTAGAAAAGTGATATCTCGTATTTGTCCCATTTATTATCTTAAAATGCCGGTAAATTAGTTAGACAGATTCCTTCTGTATCAAACGAGCGAGTTTAATGAATTTGTTTCAAAGTTAAATTAAAAAAAGAAATAGCTTTATATTGGGAAGGTTGCAATTTTACGTTGTACTTGTTTGTTATTATTACGTATCTGTAGAGAACAAAAATGTCTTTCATTTCATTATATTAAACAAAATATTTTTTTGAATTCTGCAATGAGCGTGTCCTATTTTCCTGCAAAAAACATGTACTTATTAAACCATTTATTATTTTCATAAAAAATTTACTAACAAGTATCGACCTTAAAAATAACATGACAAATATAAATTGCGCAAACGAAGAACTATGAAAGCAAAAGACTAAAAAGAAATTATTTCTTACTTTTTTACTTACTTACTGCTGACTTCTTCAGAGTTTGACTGAAACTGTTTCAGTCAAGCAGACGCAGGAGGAATTTAGAAGTTTAGTAAAAAGTATTACAGTAGCCTGTGGAAGTTTCTTTGAAAAATTATTTCTTCTTTTTCGATTTCCGTTTTTGGTACACTTTTAGAACGTGCAATTTTATTAGATTTAGCAAATCTGTATTTTTCTTTTTTGATACGAAAACGGCAAATTTACTGGTTTGTCCTTGCAATGTTTTGTTGATGCTTTTGAACCACCAATAAAGTGACAAACACCTTTTTATTATCTCACACAACTTATTTCCCAAATGATGCTGAGGACAAATAATTGTTGAAAACGAGAACTGCTTTACTAAAATATCATTTAATGTTTTGCTTATATTTGGGATTGTGCAATACCAGGTTGTGTGAGTTTACCTCTTTCATACATTTGCTGTAACTGATATTAAAAAATCACTCCCTGCAGTAATAGCATCAGCTGTATAGGAAAGAAAAAAATGAATATTAAATTTTTAAGAAAAAAAAATAAAACTAAATTAGATGCAAATGTTATTATAGCCAATCTAGACATAGCCTCGATTACTTTTATACACTTTGCAGAAGCTGGACCCAATTGCAAATCCGAATTAGTGCAAAATTCAGTCACTGGAAGTTGAAAACGTGAAAAATGTTTAGTAAATATTTATTAAAAGTGTTATGATGTCCAATATAACTGAAATAATTGAATCTTTTATCAATATAACTAACATAATGTAAGACTCACCGAGGATACGCAAACAGAGAACTGCTGTTGGTTTCATGCCTTTCCTTTCTTGCACTATGGGTTTAACTGTTTCTACCCATAAGTTGAATATGTTTCGAGGGTTTTTCGGAAAACGAGGCTTCCTGCTGGTCCGATTTCGGAATAACGCTACACGGCACGATTTATTTAGTTTTATCCGAAATATCATTACTAATATTCTCAGCCATGTCTACAACAAATAGGAATATATAACATTACTTTTTACAAATCGCAGACGAAACACTATTGGTTTTCAAGTATTTTGACTCATTTCCCAAATGGAACCACAAGCTCACAACATATAATGTTAAATCAAAAATCTCACAACTATTAAATCTCTCTATAAAAATCGCAAAAATTATAGCACAACGCAAAATGGACACCGCACAACTCAAAAACGGGTGAAAAAGTCAAGGGGACTTTTGATTCATAGTGGCTTCTCTATTGCAAAGCGATGTTCGCCAGCACCATCTCTTATTTGTCCCATTTTTAAATAGAAATGCTCGAGAAAGCTCCGGTTACCTTGCTATATTTATTAGTATACTGTGACATACACATGAAATGACACTTGGAAATTCAGACCGCCAAGTAAGTTATTTGCAAACTTTACAGTATTGCTCCTTTTTTGCTGTCAGTCTTTGTAATAACAATATTCAAAATGAATAAAATAATTACTTTTACTTTTAAGTATTTCTAGTGCATTGGCTTTATTCATTGTAATGTTGTCATATTAAAAAAAAGACATTTCTTACAAACCACATCATCATTGTGAAAAAGGGGGCTATTTGTTATTTTATAGGTTATGTTTATTTATATATTGACTAAAAGCTTTTGAATATATAAAAATATTATTCTGTTGGTAAACAACTCAGGGCAACAGTGTCAAAGCCTAAAAAACAATACCATCTCCCTTGATTATATATCTATGGGTGCTGTTTCATTAATGTGCTGTAGCATGTAGCATTTTTAGTTTTAATGTACACTAGCAGTAAATTTTTGTAAACTACAGTTAGGAGGAAGTAGTAGAACTATGTTAAAATAGTATTTTTATGTACCTCTTCTCATCGAAGGTTGGTGTTAACCACAACAAATTCTTCTTTTGTTTCTGATGTCCTGACGAGTGTTGCAACTTTCATTACAGTCCATTTTCTGATAATTTTCATCCGCTTCCCCGCTCCCCCCTCAATTGTACGTTCTGTTGGAATAGTTATTATTGATCGTGCATGCGAAATTGCCAAAGAATGCCATGCGGATTCATTCGATACATGCTCTGCCCACAATATTCTCAGTAAACGAAGAAATATCCACATTTCAAAGGATTCAATTTTCCTTATTGTTGTCACTTTCACGGTCGAGGTTTCCATTTCAGGTAAGAATATAGTATCGAGTATTTAGTGTTAAATCTCTATTAAAAAAGAATTACTTCATTTTCAGCAATGCAACATTCAAGATATCTAGAATTTAGCTACTTCATTATTTACTCTTATGTTCGTTGGCTGATGTTTCTTCTAGAAATACCCATTACTTTACTTTTACGTGCGCATTCGTTCCCGGCTTACATTGTTGAAGATATTTTTATTCTTTGTTCGCCGTGACTTAAAGCTTGGGAAAAGATCTATCGGCTCATTTTACCCCACCAAATCTTTGAGTTACTGTCACTTATAAGTTTTACGATTTCCGGATATATACGTTAGTTAATTTAACTGCGTGAGACTGCCGAATTTAAAATTTCTGCTTGCTTTCTTTCTATATAGTTCTGTAATTGTTTCTTCGAGGGTATTTAAGATTTTATTTTCGTTGTTTATCAGTCCACATAGAAGTTCGCTTTTAAACACCATAGATTTTCTTAAGACTTTGAGTATTCTAATCGTTATGCGTCTATAAATTTCCCAGCAGAGTTCTATACTCCGTTGCGCCTTTGCTTCTGTGACTTTACCTTAGATTTATCCTTATACTTGGTCTTACCTTTGTTTTTATATGTTGTCCTTTCATCCATTTCTCTTGTTATCCAGTGTTTATGCTGACTTTATTCACTCGACTTTTGACATTTCATTGCGTGAAAAAACTGGTTATTTTTCAAAGCAAGTCCACATTATTTACCCTGTTGATTTCTTCAGAGCATAACTGAAACTTGCTCTCATTTTACTCTATACCTGTTGTTTGAGGGTGGCGGATCTATGCTCCTCATTTACCTCCGCCCCCCCCTCAGACAGCACATAAGCTGGTACAGAGTAGAATGTTAGCACATTCCAATTAATCTCTGAAGAAGCGTGACGTGACAATTGTTTTGACAGTGGATGTGGATGGAAAACATCAGACCTTCGCAGCACTTGGCCATGAAGTGCCGGAAACACTCATCCTAACCAAAGGAAGCACTTATAACCTATAAAATGTAATGCTGGGTGCTTTTTTCAAAACATTGGAACCTAGAAACGCTATTTTGAAAAAGCAGATGTTTTGCAAAAGGCATACTGGTTAGTGCAAGTCACTGCGCAATATGATCTAATGCCGTTAACTACCCCACTGTAATATCATGAAATTTCTCCATGCGGTCTTTGAAGGAAGACACTGGAAAACTTCTATATTAAAAGTGTGGGTTGTCACATGCGCTCATTAAAATTTTCCTCAAAGCTTTAAAACAGGATTTGCCACATTTCAATTTAATCTTATTGTATTTTAATTCAATTTGTCGCTTCAGTGCCAAAAACGTCCATATTCTATTCTATCTATTCAGCCTCCATAATTGTCTCCATTCTTCTCGGTCCCTTGCTATGTTTATCCATCCCGGATCCGTAACTTCCTCTTTATCTTTTATTTGCCCAGTCTCCATTGTATGATCACCTCGTTCCGCATTTCATCTAATTTTGTATCCCGCAAATTTCTATTTTAGCTTATATATTTCGCTTGCGACATCTTTGATTTTAGTTTTCTCTCTAATCTATGCGTTTGTTCTTTTTATCCTTTAATAAGAGGCCTAGCATAAGTCTTTCCATCACTATTTGTGTTTTCTTTATTTTGCTTACCTTGGCTTTTGTAAATGTACATACTTGTGCCCTATGTGTGAGTAGTAGGAGTACATATAGGTTGAAAAACTCTGGTCGTCAGGCATTGTTAATATTTTTTGTTCTTTGAGACAAAACCAAGTTTTCTGCATCTCTTTTTGATTTTTTTTAGCCATTTTGATCTGTTGTTGCAGATATATGTATTTTATGACTTGTTCTATTGTATTGTATTCTATTCTATTATATGTTGCCCTATTCTGATTGTAGTGTTCTTTTGTCAAGGTTTTGGTTTTATTGTAATTCATTTTGAGTCCTTGCATATCTAGTTCTTCGATCATTTCAATCAACTGGTTGTTATAGTTTGTTATGGTCATCAGCATATCTTAAGTAGCTCAGTTTTCATCCTTTTTATCCTCAAAATTGAGATTTTTGCATATGTTTCCCAATGCCATATTGAAAAGTTTCAGCGATATTGCGTCTCTCTGCCTAACTTACCTATTTATTGGTATTTGTTTAGTTCTTTCGTATATTTTAATGGTAGTTTTTAATAGCCCAGTGTCTAAAGCTCTCTCGAAGTCAACAAATGCTGAGAAGAGTGGTATATGGCATTCGTTGGCTTTTCTGAAACCGCTATTTAGACTGGTATCCATCAAATTTCATGATTAGGCCATTTGTTAAAATTTTTGTCAGCAATTTATATATTACAGTTAGAAGGGTTATTGGTATGTAGTTTTTTATGTCTGTTTTATCTCCTTTTTTTATATAGAAGTATTGTGATAGTCATCCTAATCGTTTGGCATTCTTTGATATTTCTTCTCTATCTTTCCTGGAGATTTATTTCCCTTCATATCTTAAAGATTTCTTTATTTCTGATTTACTGATTTCAGGTTAAAACACTTAGTTCAGGTGTTTACCTTTTTTTTTTTCAAGTTGTATCTTATTTTTGTATTTATTCTTTGTGCGATATAGTTCCATGTGAATTGAATTATTTTTAAAATATCATCGTTGGACTCTCTATTCCGTCTTGGTCCTTAATTTCGCTTCTTCCTAGTTTTTTTAAATACCATTTTCTACCTTCTTTTCCCGGATTTTCCTGGTTTCTTTTATTGTCTTATTTTTTTATTTGTTTTCCAATAGTTTTATTAATCTCGGTCTATTCAATTGACTTTACACTTCCTTTTTCATTAAGATTGCTTCTTTTTTTCATCAGTCAATCAATTTGTTGTGTCTGACATGTCTGCATGTTTTTCGATGTCTTCTATACACTTGGGTTGCCACATTTTTTAATGTTAGAGTGTCGTTCATTTCGTGTTTCGGTTGTGGGGGGTCTATGTTTTGGTTTATTAGCTCATTTATTTTCTTTTGGTATATATTTTTATTTTCCCAAAGTTCTTGTATGTCCAGTTGATCTGTTTGTTGTTGTTCTTCTTTGTATTTCAACCTCATTATTTATACGTAAATGTATGCTTACTATCCTATGGTTATCTATTTAAACCTATTAAGTACAGCTGTTATTCTATTTTCTCTGGATAAAATGTAGTCCATCTCGTTTTTGATAAAAGGTATTCATTGCGTATAACTTCTTTTTTCTAGAAAATTCATCTTTCGTTTCTTACTCCATAACCGAAATTAAATGATTCCTTAATTAGTTTCGCGTTAAACCTATCACTGATGTTAAACGGGTTTTGTGTTCTTCCATAGCTTTGGATATGTTTTCGTAAAATTAACCATTATCATCGTATCGTGTTGTATGTACGACATATTTTCTTTCTTTTATTATTAAATATGCCAATTGCCAATTATTCATAGTTGAAAAATAGTATCGCCTTCATTACTGTTATGGTGTAGTAAGTTTCCCGACTGTAGGTGGATTCTATTTTCGTTTATTCTTCTTATTTCCGATAGTCCTACAAAATCCCATTTTATTCCTTTTAGTTTGCGTAATTTCTCGTTCATGGATCTGATGTTATATGTGCCTCCCCCAGATCCCGTGAGGCAGACCTTGAAGGTGTGGGATTTGGAAGATTTCCGCCTGGGGAAAGTATGCTTTTGTTTTAAAATTCGCCATATGACAAAAAATATTACTATTAATTAATTGATATATTATGATTCCTAAGATATCGCGATACAATACAATATAATAAGGAAGTTGGTTCAGTTTGTATAATCAAGTCAAAAATGGAAAAGAAAAAGTTTTGGGAACGCTTAATATAGATAGGGCTTTAGTTTCCTGTTTATACATTACAGATTGTTTGTTCCAGGTGCAAATTGAGGAACTGCAGCAAACAAATGCGCAAATTTTAGATCAAAATACATTACTAAAAGCACAGTTGTCGGCGGGTGCCTCGCACGTGATTGATCCGATAGAGCGCGAGAGAGAAAACGAGTTCAACGGAATTCCGGACTCTGGAAATCTCGACGTACTCAGCACAAAGTTAAAAAATCTGGAAGAAGAGAATGCTAGGATCCCGAAACTAGAGGAGGAACTGGCGAGAAAAACTGCACAGATGGAAGGGTACCGTAGTGTTTGGAGTAACACGCAATGAGATAATCGAATTTTTTTAGTTACCAAAAAGATCAGGACGATTTATTGGAGTTGTTGGTCGCGCAGGAAGCGAAGTTGAATAATTTGAAGGAAAGGCTTCGAGGATTGGGCGCGTTGAGAGAGGACGACGAAAGTTCGGCGGATTCGGATAATGACGCCGAAAAAAACCCATAGTATTAGATGTTAATTAAGTTATTGCATTGCTGTCTACACTGTTTGGTTAATACTTTTATTTATTACATTGTCCTTATATTTGCGGGTTTTATTTCATGGCCGAACGGAAAATTTTACAACGCTGCTTCCACCAAAATTTTTTTTATTTGATAGACATGTTTATTAGAAGACGTAGGATATATCCACCAAATATATTGCACTGAAAAGCAGTTTACATTTTGGAATCAATGGGACAAAATAGACTGTGACGTCACGATGCACAATTTTAAGTGAAATCCAAAACTCAATTTTTCAAAGAAACGTCCACAGGTTATTGTAATTCCGTTTACAGATCTTCCCTATGTTGTTCATAAATACCTATTCTGTATCTGCTTATATATTATTCGTGGTCGGAGCTAAAGGAGGGGCATTGACATTGTCTCGGATGACTGACTCAAAAATTTCTCGTCGGATTCCCTAACATTCACAAACAGGATTACCCCTTCGACATATTGGGAATTCAAATTAAGATTGCAGCGACTCAGTGGCTGAACTACTTTCTAGTGCATCAAATCTTACCCTTACTAGTATTTCGCGCATTGTTTTATGGTTTAAACTGTGTTTTTCAACCTTTTATGTTTTCGGCCTTCTTTTTGGTTAGTTAAAAACCTGTAAAGGTTTTTTTGTATATATAAATAAGGCAAAAGTAGAATTAACCCTAATAGAATGTATGAGGTACATCGGTGGAATTTTAAATTCAAGATGTGTTGTGGAAGGAGAAGAAGCATTAAATTCAGGACATATTCTGTTTGGCAAAACTGAATGTCAACTTCACTCCATGAAAGTATGAGCACTCTGTTTACAAGCAAGTGCTTTGTGATTTCAAAAATGCTCCGCATATGAAAAGTTGCTGCCGGAGGACATTGTAAATGTATTTCAGAATTGTTAATTCAACTAACGAGGTATGTAATGTCGAATTTATCAAAAGTGATCAACGTAAATATTATGCGATTTTATTATAAATTCAGTAATTTGCGTCAGTCACATTTTTTTCAGGGAAATCTTGACCGATATGGAAGAAGTCTCCCAAACGGATTTAGCTTGTGTATGGAGAATAATAAAGCGCTCAGTTAAAGGAGAATAGAAGGCTGTTCCCATAAGAGAGATGACTCGTATAAATGTGGAGGAAAACGGATGGTAGTTTTTGGGTACATTTTCGCAAAACAACACTTTAGTGTTTTTTACAGTTTTGATATTAATATCTTGCCAAGACCAATTGTAACATTTTCAAATATCCATGTCTCATCATTACAAACAAAAGAAAATTGAAGGTTAGGACCTGCTTTTTCTTGTTTATACGATCTTAAAAATTTAATCCCCTTTAATACTCTATCCTTGGATAATTTTTCTTCCAATTACAGTCATTTTCTTTAAATAAACTACTTAATGATCAATTATAAAAGTTAAGTAAACAACATAACAACATAACATAGTATATTATGCAACAAGTGCGGTAAGCGGCATTTGATTCACAAGTTGATTTGACACGAGCGGAGCGAGTGTTTAAGAAGCGAGTGACTTAAAAAGTTTACCGTACGTGTTGCATACTATACTTTTTCTACGACCGTTGATTTTGGGTACATTTTCACAAAACAACACGAATACATTCACTGACATGACCTTCAGAATTGACAATCGTCAAAATTCAAAGCGTGGGAAATATCTCCGAAAACATCCGATTGCTCCCAAACCCGTGCGGTAATATTCCGGAAATGTCCGAAGTGGCTCGGATCCGTGGGAAACGAAACTGACGCTAGATCGTTGTGTAATTGGGCATTTTACAGACGGGAGTAGAAAAAAACATATAAGCAATATATTGAAGCAACACAAGCATTTTTCGTCCGTTGTTGCCAAATATTTAATTATAATTTCATAGATTGTGTTCCTTTTTTCCATTCATTCTGCTCGCAACTTGTGCATATTTTTGGTATTTAATTTTCAAAAAATTTAAAATGGCGCGTGGATTGGTACCTATAATTAATATTGTCGATCCCAGGTCAGTTTGAATTTACATTTAAAATGCAATTTTTAATACTTCAGCTGAGGTTTTTTATTTTTAATTATGCTGTTAGGACAGCATAAAAGATTTTATGGATTTTACATAGAATTAATCAATATATTATTTATATTACATTAATAAATTATAAAAAAATTAAACTATATTTAATTGCAGTTGTTTTAAATGAAAAAAATTTTCTTGGAAAAGCAGGTTTGAATAATAAAACTGAAAGAAAAATCTGGAAAGGAAATATATGAAAGGCTCGACATACATATCGTAGCACAGTCCATGTATTAATATTGTTACGTCTGTGATTTCTATCGATCCCGCCAGTAAACGATTTTTAATATAATCAACAATTTTTCCTATATTGTCTTATTTATCTTTCTAGTTTTAATTACGTATTTTTCGTGATAGAAAAAGATACGTTTAAGATGTTTAGTAAAAAATTTTGAATATTACAAATTACAATTAAAACTTTAAATAATTCCAGACGTTTAAGCGAACGTTAACCTTTTGGCAATCTTTATATATATTAATGACAACTATAATTAATGATTGAAAAATACACTAAATTAATGATGAGAATTTCGAAAATATTTGGCTTATCTTTACTTCTTTCAAAAATATTCAGTTGAAACCCCACTGGTAACAAAATATCTCGAAACACAAAATGCATTTTGATGGTTAAATTCTATGGGACTTCACTGAAATTCTTCACAATTCCTTAGGACTCCTCAATATCCTCAACTCCTATCGCGTTGATGACACTGAGAGGCCGATCAGTAAGTTAAACGAGGTGTGTACTACCAGTTAAGTTTAACTCAACATTTCAATATACGCTCATTGTGTATGGACTTTGTGTCATTTAGGGATTTTTTACTGGATGAAATTGATGTGCTGCCACTATCTGAGACGTGGCTAAATACAAATACTACTGATTACAGTGTGATTGTTCCCGTATACGGTCTACATAGAAAGAACTGTAGTAACAAGGGAGGGGTTATTGCTTTTTGATGTTAGGGATTCATTCAAGTAATACAGCAAGGTAATAACGAACTGGAGCAGATTTGCAGAGGCGGTAAGTTGAACGGCAAAAGTATTTGTTTGTGATCCCTCTATCGCCCCCAAGCGCTAATTTGGTTGCCTGCTTGGACGATGTTAAGGATACTTTGGCCATTTTAATGCCGGAGTTTGTGTCTGTTTTGGGGTCGATTTTAATGTTGAATTTAATATAATTATATATTAAAATATTTAATAAGACGGCTAGTAATAGTTGCAAGTGTCTTAGCAGTTTTGTGGACAAATACAACCTCTGGTTAGGAGCAAACCTAAAACATTATATCGAACTTATCGCCACTAAACTAATTTTAATTATGAGCAGTTTCTCTCTTGTTTGTTGTTCCTTGAAGAATTGTTCATAGTTGTTGATAAGATCTTTTCTTACTTTCTCAAAAATGTAGATAATTTACCCAATATTCATGCAACTCCAGCACCATGGTTTACTGATAAGTTGAGGCTTATGAAATGATTGACAAATAAGGCCTATACTAAGTGCAAAAGATTAAAGACCGATTCACCAAAAAATGAATGTAAATTCTAGCTTATCTAAGTTCAAAATTTCGCAGAACTATTTGAAGATTAATACGAGGCATTGCTGCAATCCAGCCGATGTTTCTGATTCGTCCACATTTAATCAGTTTTTTAAAGAAAGTGTTCCGCCTCTTACTGGTGAACAGCATGCTAATAAAGATATGATTTAGGACCTGTATTCGGGTCGTGTTTATGGGTGTTTATGACGGAATTACTAGTTGGCTTAACGTTGCAACCGTAATAGAGGAGAGAGCAATATCCAGAATAAAATCAAACGCAAAATTTGCGAATGGTATCGATCTAAGAATACTTGCCTGCCTCCCAATCTGGGTTTAGGCTCGGGTATTAAATGTCACTGATTAACTTTTTAGGGCTCAGGATGTGTCAAGAAATACTTTTTTGATTTTGTTGGATTATAGCAATGATGATCTGCAAATATTCTTATCAATATCTGTTAAAGATCTTGGTGATATTAAATGATTCCAGGACGCAGGTTGTTCTATTTGGTAATTAAAGATAATAAAGTATCAAGCCTAATAATTTGAAATTTTCCTTGAATGGTACACCGCTTGATTTTGTCGTCATTTGTAAAAATTTATGCGTCTGTGGTAAATTGAGAGTACTTTGCATGTATAAAGACCATTACTGGGATTCGACTCAAATTGTGTGACTCTCTTATACTCTCTCTATTGGGATATACTGGCCGGCTCGAAGATGGAGAGATTAATGCAGCTTACAAAAATTGCAAAATGTCTGCCTGAGATACACCTATGGTTTGCGTAAATTTGATCATATGACGCCGGCACTCAAGGATTATTAATGGTTAAATCTATCTGACAGGTATTTTGCACATCTGTCAACGTTATTGTATAAAATTGCTATGTACGGAAAGCCCCGATATCTCTCTGACTGGTCAGAGGTACAGATATACATAACTTTTCAACTCGTTACCCTACCCAGTTCTACGTTCAAAGGCATAGTACGGCTGCATTTCAGAGCTATTTCACATACAATGCTTAAAATTTACAGCTAACTTCCACTAGATGAGTTGGCTAGATTAAGGAGAGCCTGAACCGTTGAATTTTTTTATTGTTTTTCTTTTAATCTTTTTTGAATATTACGGAGGCAAACAAAGATTTTGTGTTTTGGTATTTTTCATATTTTTGGAGTTATACTGGCTTAACTAATAGACACACAATGTTTCTTAATTTCTTTCACGCAACATTTTTTGAATTAATTTTTGGGAAGTAATATTGTCTTAAATATAGGAACGTAACATTCTAAAAATTGAAATTGCCACGCCACTGGCATACATTTTGCATAAATTAATAGAATATTAGTGGAGAATCCTGCAGAAACTCTATTTTTGCAGTAGGCAGTCGTTTTGTGAGGTTAGTGAGCATTCTGCAGTTACAAACTTTACGAAAATATGGAGAGAGGCAATGCA